CCCACCGCCCACCGCGCCGCTGCCCCCCGCCTCCCGCCGGGAAGCCTCGGGGAGGCGCCCGCGCCGGTCGGGCTGGGTGGGTCCGCTTCGTTAATAAACCTTTATTAACAGTTACAATCTCAGAGAGATTCTGATGCTGTGAGGTTTCACACTTAACAATCTCATAAATCTCATTAAAACAACTCATTAAAAACAATCTCCTAAGACAAGAATTGATCTTACTGCTACAGTTGCTATGTGAGCAACATAACACTTGCTCAGATGTAGAAGTGATAAGCCAAGAGGTTTTTACTAAATTTAAAACCGGCATTGTCTAGCAGAAGGAGCTCCTGGTCAGGAAACATGAAATGTTTCCACTGTTGCTATACTCTGTCTGGGTTTGAAGATGATGCTAGATTTGGAGTTACCGAAAGTGCTGCTCAAGCAGGCAGAACTGTACGTTTAGAAGCTTGACTTCAGCTTCCTGGTTGTGAACACATTGAACTTATACGTTAATAGAACACGGAGAGCTTTCTTTGATACACCAAGTCCAAATAGCTTTTAATTATTAACTCTGGAATAGGTGTTCTTTTTCTTCTGAAGCAATTAAGTCTCTATGATAAGAGTACAGCTTTCACCTTTTGTGTGTAAGTGTGTAATTAACCTTAATACAAATAGCCCTTGTGACAATGGGAGTAACTCTTTGGGCAAAGGTACTTCACTGATCAAGGCCTAAACTTTCAGGCTTGGGGGTTTTTTTTGTTTGTTTGGGTTGGTTGGTTGGTTGTTTTTAGTGCCCACAGCAGTTTCAGGTAGTTCAACAAGACATTGCCAGCATTAGTATTTTAAAATGCCAGCTATGTGTGTTCTTAAAGGTTACAATTGTGTGGATACTTGAGCTGACTTAAATCAGGCTGTGGGTCTATAAGCTAAATCATCCTTGCAGCCTGTCTGCACACAGTGGTACCCTGTACTCCTTGGACCTCCTGCCTAATGCTTCCCCCAGGCTCCCTGGGGTGCGCAGGCCTGGTGTCCACTCCTAGAGCTGCCTCTTCCACCGCCTGTGGCTGCTGCCACCAGCGATGTGATCAGCCTTGTTTGGTTGCTGCAGTCCTTGTCCTTCAGCCCTCCACTGTAGGGATTGCGCTTTCAAATCGTGCATCTGTACCTATAACAGGCTTTGTTTAAAAAACAAAATGAAACAAAAAACCACCACCCAAACCCACTCTTTTAGTGGTTAATGCCACACTGTGTACAAAGTTAATACAAGACCTGATCATACCTTCTTCTCTCTTAAATTTCTGGTACCTCAGAAGTGGGGCGCAAAGAATAAGTCTCTTTATGAACATCCTTATCTGAACAGCACCGGAATGATCTGCTGGGGAACCGGAAAACAACCTACTATCTCATTACTTATCACTAATACAGGGTAGTCTAGGGAGCTGAATTAGTCCCAGGACACTTAGAGGCAAGGTCTACGTCTCAGTTTCAGGTTGTGTGTCAGCAGCTTCTGATTGCCGTTAGGTGATTATGGTGACCTTTGGTATGATTGTGTAGCAGATCATAGCTGCCCTTCTTGGAAGAGAGTGCGAGAATGTCTTTAGCTGTAGCAGCTGGTGTGTACTTCCTCGTGTATCTGTGATGGGACTAGCAAGCCTGAATATTCCGTACTCAAAGCCAGAACCATCTTTACCTTTTTTGCGTGTGTGCCAGAGCTGTGTTAATGCTTTTGTGTCTCTTGGACAATACAGGCAGCAGCATTAACTCAACACAATTTTCCTCCTGTGATTAGTGGAAGGTGAGACCTGTAGCACTCTAAGCAAGTGGGGACTTGTGTGACCTTTAGGAGCAGTTAGCTCAGGAAGCAATGAGAATGATGCAGAACCATCAGCATCACGTACTGTCAACGCCTCTCATAGGCGTTCAAACTTTCAAACTCATAGGTTTGATCTTCCTGTGATTAGTGGAAGGTGAGACCTGTAGCACTCTAAGCAAGTGGGGACTTGTGTGACCTTTAGGAGCAGTTAGCTCAGGAAGCAATGAGAATGATGCAGAACCATCAGCATCATGTACTGTCAACGCCTCTCATAGCTCTAGGTTTGAAGAAGAGAAGTAACGGTGTGGTGGTGGTGTGGGCTGAGCACCATACAGGAACCTTGCTGGTACCGTTTCTGTAAGGGAAGTTGCCACCCTCCTGGCATACAAACTCTCTGATAGCCCAGTGCTAGAGCTGATTCAGACATGGTGGCAAAACCTCATGTTATTAGCCTTTGATATTTAGCCTTTGATATTAGCCTTTGATACCAGAACAGAGCTCCACTTGCCTGTTTCCCTTTAAGAGCAACAATCTGTCTGAGTTTTAGATGCCTTAGTTATGCCTGTAGCTAAAAGTTCTGCTTCATCAAGAGTCTGTGGTCTCTCTTGGTATAAATCTAGTCAGATAAGGGATCTACTTTAAAGAGAAACTTGAAAAAGGTTTTGGTTATACTAAAAATCCCTTTCCCCACACCAGAAACAACCTGAGATCATGAGGCTTTCCCTGTTAACACCAAGGGGATGCCTGATGCATCAGTGGCCGTTGGCTTCAGTGAGCCTCTAGGTTTTTACCTGGTTTGAGTATGGTGTGTCGTGGCCTCTAGAAATAGAGCGAGGCAGAGGCTTTTTTCTGGGATAGGAGCAGGAATGTAGAGAACTCGTTGCTTTCTTAGTTCTTAGGGCAAAGGTTTTCCTGCTGCTTGATCTGTTTTTTCCAGGAGGGAGGGGAGAGTAAGGGATTGGAGAAAACAACCCTCCTCCTCTTCTTGCGTGGTTTACTTCATTAAATCATCAGCCATCAAGCTGATAGTGTACTTGCTAAGGTCTCGTTCTGCGCTGGTGTGCTGAGGCAGCAAAGCACAGGAATAAAAATGGTTCCTGAGCATGTCGGGAATCCTACTCTTGTCCTCATGTGGAAATAGTAGGGCTATATGGAGCACACAGTAAAATGCCTGTATAGCCTGGTCTGCCAGCATTGTTGCTCCCACCAGCAGAGAGCACTGTTGGTGAATTACAGCTTTAACTCTTGCTGATCGGGACACTTTTCTGTGCTGGGCGTGCACTGTGCCTCAAGTTTGTGTGGGAGCAGGCAGCACTGGGCTTGGTGCACAAGCGGAAGACCGGCGTGAGCTGGGAGACAGGCAGAGGAGATCATCCTTGGTGCGGTAGGTACAAAGTCTGGGCTTGCTGTGTCACCTCTCTGGTTTCTGTTGGGTTGGTGTCAGCTCCCCCAGTAGATCCGGCGTGATAACTGATGGGCTTGCTGTTGAACCAGTGCCTGGTAGCATGGGTTTGGGACCTTGTCCAGTGTGCTTCTGCTCCAGTGCTTTCTGAGTGCTTACCTGTTACATCTCCTGTCCTTCCTGGGGGCACGCACAGCCTTTCTGCGTGGAGGCATGCTTTATTTTTACCCTTATTTCCAAGGGGATTTCACAAACAGCTGGCTTGCTCTATGTGGTTGTTTCTTTTGCCTGTTCCCACCCTGCTCGAATGGATTAAGGCGATCTCTCTCCATTGTTCCTGGTGAGGGGATTCTCACCTACTGTGAAACCATGCTGGCAGCAGGCCGATGGCATTTGGGTGTGCCTCCTCTGCTCTGTGAAGAAGAGCTGCCAGAGGACTGGGAATTGACAGCTGTATGTGGCAGTAGTCTTCTATGGTGTACTGGCTGTAAGGGAAAGCATGCTCAAAAGAGGAGGAAATACAGTAACTCTCAGTCTGGGGAATGCTGGAAATCATGTGAGAGCATGAGAAGCAGCGGTAGAGTGTCTCATGTCCATTTTTAGGAAGAACTTAATAACATGAGGTGTTCACAACGTCCTGTTCTCAAGGTTGCACTTACTTACATGGGAGGAATGCTTTTCACCACTTTATAGTTGGGAAAACACGGTAAAGGGCAACCGCTTGACACTTATGTATGTGCAGCTATGGTCAGAGATGAACAGCTGTGTCCTTGGTGTGTACAGGCCATGCGTACTGTGTATTCCAACTCTGTCACTTCTGCAGCAGACAGTGCTGCTATTGTAGGTGACAGTGCAAGACGCACTCCTTTCCTGTCATTTATAAAGCATAGCTTGTATCCCGATAATTGGCTTCCATGGTCACAGAGTAAATCAGAGCCAGCTTGCAAACCCAGAAACCCTGACCTGCAACCCAAACCGTTGCTGATGCTTCCTCTGTGTCCTCTTCCCTTTCCAAAGAGTTGTCACTTCTTCCTTTTCCGTCCTTCCCACAAACTCATGCGCCTCTCAAACTGGTCTCTCTGTTACTGTAGGTCTTCTTGAGCTGAAAGGATGAAAATTGGCAATTGGAAAGTCACTGTCACTGTCCTAAGCTTCATCCTAACTTCTGGAGTCCCAGTTGATGTCTTTGGGTGTATAAGCCTGCGAGAGTGTCCACTGTCCCTTCCATGATTTAGACAGCGGCTTGGAACATGCATCATTGTAAGGTTTACATGATTTCAGCGCTGGCGAAATCCACTGTCCCTTTCCCAGTCGGTGCAAAGGGGTTAATTGCACGATGGAGCTGCCTATCTAAAATGATCCTGAATTCCGGATCCCCTCCCACCCTGAGGGTCTCTTCCTGCTCCCTCCTTTTGTGCTGGGCAGCATGTCCTGGGCTCACTCATGCCAGATATGCCAGATCAGTCCCTGCCCTCCCCAGCATCACCTGCTTCCAGTAGCGCAGCCGGCCCCTGGCTCGCCCTGCATCTGACCTTCTCTATCCCTTTTTGCACACTGTGATTCCAGAGCGGGATGGTCGGCCACCGAAGCTGCAATGTCGTCCCTGACGACCTCCAGTGAGGGAGAGAACTCCACTCCCAGGTTTGTTGTCGGTTCCAGGGATGATGAGACAGACTTTCTGGGATCAAACATGAAGACAGACGAAACCGATTTCTTTGAAGATGATGAAGAGGAGGAGTCGGTAAGGAGGTCCCGGCGTTCTGGGTTGGAGCATCTGTGCAGAATTCCTGGGTCTCAGCCAGGGTTTGTGCGGTTGCTGCTGAGGCCGCAGGCAGTCGGGACTTCAGGGGACATGGCACCAGGCTGTGTGGCATAACCGTGGGGAACGGCAATGTCATTTCTGACAGGACGTATTGCATTGTCATGCTGCCATACTCGCTGCCTCATGCTGCAGTAAATCCTAGCCTTTTCGCTTGCAGGTCTTTTTCAGGTACTACAGTGGATTTATTTGTCCTAGCAACTTAACCCTGACACTCTTGTAAACCTTTCTGTTTCACCAGGGAAATTTTTGAGGAAAACTCTGAGAACTGTGAAAAGGGCAAAGGTGTGTCTGCAGAAAGGAAGCATTTATTCTTTTCTGTAACCTCCGGGAACAGGATGCAAAAAGGAGAACGATCTCCAGCTCCTGACTGCTTTTGGCCCCTATTCAGTGTTATATTAAATGTTACAGTTGCAGTTCTGCACATGGGACTTGGATGCTGCAGGGACATAGCTGCTGGCTGTGCGAATTGCTGGGACCATACGCCAGTGCAGTGGTCGTTTCCATTGCCTCTGTACCCTGAGTCTCCATTGCAAGTGGGTTGTTGACCTAGCAGCCCACATGGGCTTCCTTCAAACCCAAACAGTGTTGTGTACCTTGATGCTCAGTGAGGAGCTATTTATCAGGTGTGGTGAAGGATTTGGAAACCCTTTCACTTCCCAGATGTTGTTTTCGCTGTGGAACCTTGGCTTTGCAAGTCAGTGCAGTAACTTCTAAAGTCTCAGCTTACAGTTTGAAGCCACAATTGTTTGTGCTGGGTAACCCGCAGTCCTGTGTGTATCACTTCACATGATCTCACTGTGTTTAATCTTGCTAGGGCCAGAATTAATCTGTCAGGAAAACATCCAGTCTGGGGTTTCTAGATGGTGATGGAAAGTCCACCACAGACCTTAGCCTGCTCCTCTGTTACAGTTACCAATGCTTTTTGAATGCACAACTTCTCTCTTGACTTACTCAGCTTAACTTCATCCCACTGGATCTTGTTGTACCTTTGTCAGGTATAGGGAAGAGCACTTGGTACTGTTTCTCTTCTACTCATAGCTACTTACTGTTGTAATCTCCCCTTCATTTTCTCTCAGATAAGACAAACAGACTGAGCTCCTGGACTTTTTTGCTATAAAACATTTGCGGCTCTTCTCTGAGCCTGCCTAAGTCCACCAACTGTCTTGGTGAGTTATGGGCCAGAGAACAGTATGTGGGATTCCAGTCCCTGCTGCTTGTTCAGGTGCCAGATACTTATTTCTGACCTTAGCATTAGTGCCCAGTAAAAGGAAGAGGTACATAGTACCTGGCAAAGAAGCGGTTGTTTTGGGCTGCTCCTTAATGATGTCCACCAGTGGACTGTAGTGGGAGCTGGAAGTGCGTATGGGTTCGAGTCTAGCAAGAGCTGTGAGTGCATAAGGTTGGAAGGAAATCCCGTGTTTGTTCTGCATTGCTGCATTTCTACAGTGTTATAGTTTAAATTCAGTAAAGTAGTTGACCTTGTGCTAAACTGATGTCTCTCTTCCCTTAGCCACCTGAACGGCAGATTGTGGTTGGAATCTGTGCTATGACCAAAAAGTCTAAGTCAAAGCCCATGACACAGATTCTGGAACGTCTGTGCAAGTTTGAGTATATCACAGTGGTGATTATGGGGGAAGATGTTATTCTGAATGAACCGGTGGAGAACTGGCCCTCTTGTGACTGCCTAATATCGTTCCACTCCAAAGGTAAAAAGTCTGTGGCACGCCTTAGCCTACTTGAGATCTGGGTAAGGGAGCTTCCACTGATTCTTCCCCCCTCCACTTCCCTGCATTTCAGGATTCCCCCTGGATAAAGCAGTTGCTTATGCCAAGCTGTGCAAGCCGTTTCTGATTAATGACCTTGATATGCAGTATTATATCCAGGACAGGTAGGTGTCTGTGATCCACTAAAGCCCCTTCCCTCTTCCTTTGTCTGATTCCTCTCCTCAGCATGCTGTGCAAACTTCGTCTTCCTGGCCACAAGCAAATGAGTGAGATGGGGAGGAGGGGGACCTCAACAGTGGCTTTTAGGGATCGTTTCTCTAAAACATGGAGAGGAATAGATTTGGGGGTAAAACCATTGAGACTTGGCATGTTTCATTTTCTGGTGCAAATGTCTTGTAAGGAGTGGCTAGATGAAGTAGGAAGTGGAAGAGGTCTTGCAGAACGAGACTGCCACAACTAAGACAAAAAGACTAGTCTCTCAGTAGGAGAGCCAAGTAGTGGGACAGGGTTCTGGGACAGAAATTGGGAGCGAGGCCAGGTCAGATTCTCAGGAGAGTATGTTGGTCAGACACTTCAAGAGGCTTCTCAGTCAGCTCTTGGTAGAGGCCACCAGCAGTCACGTACTTCAGTGCATACAGCCAGACTGCTTTGGCTGTGTATGGGTAGGGCTCATACCAGACTCCAAACCTCCTGCCATGTCTCTGGGTTGTGAGCAGTGTTCCTGTGGGTGCTGACAAGGCACCCCAAGGTGTAACTCTAGTGAAAGAATTGCGGTTTACCCACTGACACAGGATGAAAGGAAGCTCTGCTGCATCTGCCTGGCCTGGGCGTTGGGCAGCTTAGTGTGACAGGGCACCCTTCGAGAGGGCAGATCTGGGTAGGTGGTGTGTGCTGGGTGTGTTGCTGTGGATTGGGCATGTGCTAGTAAATGAGCATCCATGTTTAGGCCAGGTAGAGATCTACTCTGGGACATCTCTGTCCGGAGTAGGACTGAGGCATGCCCCATAGCCTGTAGGTCTTATCTGGAAACCATGTGCTGAGAAGTATTTGCACTCTGTCTTGAGGCTTTTTTGTGTTCATTTGACTTTGTTCTTCATCAGTGGGAGTGAAGCCTTTCCCTTGGCATGTACTGAGGACCTTCTAGACTCTTCTGACACTGTTTCTGTCCTCTGCAGGCGTGAAGTGTATCGGATCCTTCAAGAAGAGGGAATAGACTTGCCCCCCTATGCTGTGCTCAATCGAGACCCTGATAGACCAGAAGGTCAGTGTTCAGGCTCTACTGAAAGCCATTTTCACATACTGTACTATTTAAGATATTCTGCAGAGAACAGGTGCTAATAATCAACTTGAAGAGGCCTGATTCACAAGTCTCTTGTTTTTTGTGGACAAAGGTCCCAACAGCAAAACTGGCTGACTGGCCGGGACTGAAGGGCTTCGGTTCTGCACTAGGTCTGTCTCACCCTTTCCTAACATGCTGCTGCTGTGCTTTGTCTTCAGAGTGCAACTTGGTGGAAGGAGAGGACCACGTGGAGGTAAATGGAGCTGTTTTCCCAAAGCCATTTGTAGAGAAGCCAGTCAGTGCTGAAGACCATAATGTGTATATTTACTACCCAACGTCAGCAGGTGGGGGCAGCCAGCGGCTCTTTCGGAAGGTGAGGAGGGGGACTCCAATTTTAGTGTTGGCACCAACAGATCTGTGGCTCTGAGACCCATGTGGCTTCAGGAAGGAGTGCTGGGGCAGGTGAAGGGGAAATAAAGGTTTTGTGTTGGGGAAATCTAGATCTTCTTAGAACTTTTAGTTCAACCCCATCTACCTGGGAATTGCAGAAGGACATATTTTAGTGGTAGTGCTGACTTCGCCTTCCCCATCCTCTGTTTGACCTGTGTCCTGTCTAGCAGTCATGGAGAACTGTGTCCCTTATTGAATTGCATGCTGTTTTTCCAGATCACTTCCTCAGTTTATCAAGGTGATTTTTTTTTTTAAACTTATGTTCCTGTCCTCCAACATCATTGTTGCCCTTCTCACCTTAGCATAGCTTGCAAATGTGATAAATGCAGTATTTATTCCTAAATTCCACAGGGAATCTGCCCTTACTCACTTCCTCCACTTTGCCAGCGAACAATTAATAGCTGCGATATATCTTTTTTTCAATCAGTTACGCATCTGCCATTAATAATCTTAAAATGATTGTTTCCTTAGCTAACATACAGGCATGCCACTTGAGGTTGTATCCAAAGCCTTACTAAAAATGAAAACAACATCATCCTCTGTCCATAAGATCAGTCAACTGTCCTAGAAGGAAGTTAAATTGGTCTGATTATCACCTGTCATCATTTATTTTCATTTGCTTATTAGCTAGGTTCCTTACTTTCTAGATCTTTATCCACTGTTTTTTGTTCCATATCCTCGTAGTGATTGGGGTCAACCTAAGGGTCTATAATAACTTTCCTCCTTTTTAAAGCCTGGAAAAGGACATACCTACTGTCTGCGTTTTGGAGTCTCTTTTGTCCTCCATAAATAAGAGTGCTGTAATAGCTGGGGGTTCTGAGAGGCATTCCGCTAATTCTCTGCATATGGGGTGAAACTTACACTTTTTGTTCTTCCATCTAAGAAAAGGAGCCCCATGCTCTTCCCTGAGGTGTTTATTCTGTGCTTTCAGATTGGCAGCCGGAGTAGCGTGTACTCCCCAGAGAGCAGTGTGAGGAAGACAGGCTCATACATTTATGAGGAGTTCATGCCTACAGATGGCACTGATGTAAAGGTAAGGAAAAGTCTGGAATAGCTCTTTCCTTCTCCAGGCTGGGATGGCTGAAGGTTGGGCAGTCCTACTTAGTCCTACTTAGATTCTGGAGTGTTTGTTTAAGCTGTGAGGTGCTGACTGTGCAGCTTGGATCCCAAAGCAGGGAGTGGGTATTCTGCAGGTCATAACAGGAGACCATCTGATCTTCTTCTCTCTGTGTCTGCATTAGAAATACCTTCTGGAAGCTGCAGTTAGTCTAGGTGGTTATGTCAGGTGTAACTATTTCTCTTCTCAGGTGTACACTGTTGGACCAGACTATGCCCATGCAGAGGCTCGCAAATCCCCTGCTTTGGATGGGAAGGTTGAACGGGACAGTGAAGGGAAAGAAATCCGCTACCCAGTCATGCTGACTGCCATGGAGAAACTAGTTGCCCGGAAAGTCTGTGTAGCCTTTAAGGTCTGTGTTTTCTCTCCTATGCAAGCAGGATACTCCACGAATGTCTGATTCGAATCTCAGTCAGTGTTAAAGCTTGAGCTCTGTTACCCTGATGTGTCTCTGGTGTGGCAGTCTTCCATGCCTGATGCCAGTTGCCGTCTCTGCTGGCTGGGTGCAGCTGATCCTGCTGGCCATGGCAGTTTGCTGGTCAGAGATGATTGGGAAGGCAGGAGGGCCTGCAGCAAATGCCCTCTGTGCTGGGAGGTGGCTGGTGTCCAGCGTACATCTGAGCATTTAATATCACATTCTGAGCATGCTGCTGTCCATCTGACTTGCACTCATCTTGCCTTTACTGTTTCCTAGTTGTGTTTGTGTGGAAAGCTTGGTCTTCTTTTCTTCTGGGTTTTTTCTTTTTTTTGTTCTATTTTCGGTCTGGCTTTGGTGCACATTTGCGTTCTCTTTTACAGGTCAGTAGAGTGAGTGTGTGAGTCTAGGTATGGTTACATGACATGTTCAGCAAAGTCAGCAGAAGAAGCACTTGACTACTTGTTCCTGCCCCCACTGCGATCTGCAACCCATGCAGTTGTGCTGATACAGCTGTGGGCTTGTTCTACCTTGCAGCCTTTTCCACATAGTGATGGATGTCTTTGCCTGCACCACTTATTGTCTGTACTTGTCAGTCTGGTTCAAAACAGTTGGATTTAAAGGCAAGACCAGGAGAGCCAGGAGCTGCTCTATCTTAAGCCTTTAGAGCTCTGGGAGGTAGGGGGGCGGCCCTGATGGCTTAATCCGGGGGCTTGTGGGTTGGGCCTTTGATACAGCTGTGAGAGTGTAAAGGTTCCTCTAAAGGGCCTGTTACAGCTGGGTAGCAGCTGTATTTTCACACTTCTTCAAGGCTGGTGAGGTAGGCATAGAGTGGAGGATGGCTGCAGCACCAGTGGAGCTGAACTGGGCAGCGTACGCTGGCTGGGTCTGTGTGTGTGCCCGGCTTGGCTGGGCAGCTGCTGTCCCCTTGCTGCACTCCCTCACAGCGTGCCTGAGTCCTGTGTCCTCTGCTTCCTCATGCAGCAAACAGTGTGTGGGTTCGACCTCCTGCGGGCAAACGGCCACTCTTTTGTTTGCGATGTGAACGGCTTCAGTTTTGTGAAGAACTCTATGAAGTATTATGATGACTGTGCCAAAATCCTTGGGTATGTAAAATTCAAGTTTTGATAGCGGTAGGGTAACTCATAGCAAAGTAAAATGAATGTGGAGTCTTGATCAGTATGTTGGAGAAGTCTGCAGGTGGTTCATATGGGGACATTTGTTCAGCAGGTGAAAGCTTGGCTCTGGGAGGAACGGGTTAATTATTTTTAGCCCCTGGAGCTCCTGCCTGCATTAGCATTAGCTGTCTTTGTCTACAGCTAGATGTATCTTGCAGGACTTTTCACTGGATGCTAAGCTCACTGCAGTATTGGTGATGTGAGGGAAATTGGTGTCCCTTTGGGGTGCCTTAACTAGCCCATGGTGTGATAGATGTCTCTGCGAGGAAGGTCAGGAGAAATTTTGTGGCTCTCTTCAAATCTTTCAGCTGGCCCACTAAGGAGGAGGTGGAGAACCAAGGAAATGGAATTTCTTGTGAGTTTTTTCTTCTAATTTCTTCCAGAAATATAATCATGCGGGAATTGGCTCCCCAGTTTCATATTCCCTGGTCCATCCCAACAGAGGCAGAAGACATTCCCATTGTACCCACAACTTCAGGCACGATGTGAGTACCTGCCATCTTCTCAAAAGAATGCCAATGATGGCTACATGAGGGACAAAGTGCAAACTCTGTCCAAAGGACAGACATCACCCAGCAGCATGGCATTCTCCAGCTGCTGTGTTGGTTGCAACCCTGAAATGCCTGTGGAAAGGCTTAGCCATGCACACGAAAGGGGTGATAGATGGTAAATTAGTCATAGGTTTGATGAATGCAGACAAGCAGCCATTGAAGAATTACAGAAACTGCTCACATGGCTTTCAGAAGGCCCAAATTCTCGATCAGCACAGGAGACAGATTAGGGCATCACTGTAGCTGGCTCAGTGTTCAGTAGGCTGCTACTTGGAGAAAATGCGTGTTGAGCTGCTAGTGAAATGGGTGGAAAACAATTAGCTGAAGTATTCACGTTACCTGTACACTTGGCAGACCCTCGTTTGATACTGTTTGCCTTACTAGTTTTCCACCACGTAAGGCTAAAAGACCAAAGACAAAAGTTTCTTTGTGATCTTCAGCACACTTATACATTTGTATGAAGCGAACAAAGTCGGTGCTACAGAAAAGGTAGATTGAGAGTATGTATTCATCCTTCCTTTACCGTGTGATCATTTGGAAAAAGTTGGCAAACACAAACACTGCACAGCTCACAGGACTGCTGGCTTCACTGACACCTTGTGACAATGAGACTGATAGAATTGATCCCCATTTCTCTGGGATCCTATAAGAAATAGTTGGGTATTGTAGTATCTGAAAAAGCAAACTCATGTAGCCCTTCTGAAATTAGCCAGCCTAACTACTGGTTCCTGCAGGTGGCTGATTGCTATGGGATCTTTCTATGTACAGCTCTTATTGGTTGCTTGAAGACAGGACCCCAGCTGTATAACCGTTCTCCTGAACCAAGTTGTTTTTTCCTGGGTCTTTCTAAATGGTCCTATGAGCATCACACAAGTTGGGCATGAAAACAAGCTCGGCACAATTCAAAATGCTGTTTCTGTAGATTCTGTAACATCCAGCCTGGTCCTTTCTGCTGCAGATGTGGTTCTGCCTGTCATATTATGGTACTGTGGTGCTTTTCCCTGATAGGAAACCAGATGACCTGGTAGTGTCTGCAGTACTTTGACTGCTTTTACAGCCTTGGCACTTGTTCCTGGTTTAGTCTGGGAGAAGTTCTGCCACTGATGAGGAAAGCAGCTGTCAGAAAGATGGAACTGAAAGAAACTACTTTCTGGTGGCAATTCTGGAGTGTAGGGGCACATTTGTCAGGTGTATCTTGTGTTTCCCCAGGATGGAGCTTCGTTGTGTTATTGCAGTCATCCGGCATGGAGATCGCACCCCAAAGCAGAAGATGAAGATGGAAGTTAAGCATCCCCGGTAAGAGTCGAGGCAAGAAGATGCTGTGCTGCTGGGAAGTGAGGAGGGCCCGTTTTCTGAATCAAGAGAAGGAGCAGAAGGGCTGAGTGCATGGGAGGCAGTACTTTTTCCTGGCTCCATTCAAGCAAATACTTTCTGCCCAGTTGAGGGAACCCCCTTTCCCCATAAGGATCCTGGCACCTTCTGTGTGAACTCTGGAAGAAAGAGTGAAGGTCTGCTAGGTGCTGCAAAGGGAAGTGCCCCACTAAATGGGAAGCTAGTGGCTGCTTCCTTTTCGTACCTGCGGCTGGAAACACTTGTTTTTTCAGAATTTCTGAAGCACAGGAAGGAGCCAGGGGGCCTGCTGGTTCTCCCTGAAGAACAGAGTGTGAATGTATATGTAAGGATGAAAGTCCTTGTAGCACTGAAACAGCAGAAAATGGATCGGGGTTCTTTGTTGTCTGTTCAGGTTCTTTGAATTATTTGAGAAATATGATGGCTACAAGACAGGGAAGTTGAAGCTGAAGAAACCAGAGCAGCTACAGGTGAGGGGAATCCTCTCTGGGGTTACTGTGTGGGACATGCAGGTAATACGGATCCCAGCACGAGGCAATTCTTTGGGAGAGGGGAAACCCTCAAAAGAGCAACAGTCTGTTGCACAAATGCTCCCTTTCTCATTCCCACCCCATGCACACTCAGCTGGGTGATAGTGTGAGAGCGGAATGGAAACTGTTCCTGGCTGATGCGAAGACTGTAAGATGGGGATGACCTGATGCAGCTTGCCCATCTGTTGTGGTTGCCTCTGGTGAAAGATGGGTCCAGGCTAGGGAGTGGGGCAGTTGGAAGCACCTGCTTGGTTCTGAACAGGGCTGGAGCACAGGGGTGGGGATGAAGCAAACCGCAGTGTGAAAGTTTGTCCTGCCTGAGCTGTGTCTTATGAAATGACGTGTCTCTGATGAGTGTCTGTGTGGACCTGATGCTGAGTGAAGCCATCTGGAGGCCTTGTAAGAGCACAGCGGTGAGTCTGAGGCAGAATTGCCGGATGCTTGAGACTGTCTGCTCTCCAACAGGAAGTGCTGGACATTGCACGGCAGCTTGTGGTGGACCTGGGAACCCACAGTGATTGTGAAATTGAGGAGAGGAAATCCAAACTGGAACAGCTGAAGAGCGTCTTGGAGATGTAAGGGTTCATATCTTGGGGCACCATGAATTTGTCTCAGAGCCGCGGGTCAGCATGCGATATAGAAACAAGCTGTGCTGCTCATGTCCTGGCCAGCTGGCTCCCCAGAGGTCAGTCTCCTCCATCCCCTGTTAGCAGCTGTACGTGAAAGGTGCCATGCTCTTAACGTTTTCTCCTTGGCATCAAAACCACTGCTGATTCTTGTTCCAAGTGTGTCTGGTTTTTGGCTAAACAACTTGAGACAAAACTGAGCTTCCTTTGCTGCGGGAGAGGAACTGGAGTCCTGTAGGGACCACATTGATATGAAGCATTTTGATAAATTTGGAACAAATCTTGTTTTAAATAAGGTTGTCCTGCCGCCAAAAGTTTAACAAAAAGGAGCTTGGAAAACATGAAAAGATGTTTGTGTCCTCTTAGGTTTCGTATAGCTGAAATAGAAGACAATATGGTGGTGTTGGCATCTTAGAAACATAAGAAGGGTTTCTCTCAGAACTATAGCTCGCTGTGGCATACACAGGCAGTGTCTGTGTTCAAGCCATGTCTGTGGAGCACAGAGGATGAATTGCTGATTCCTTCCCCTGCTCTTTTTGCTCTTTAGAGATGTGGTTATCCTCAGAGCGGCTGGCAGACTGTTTTTTTTCTGTGATCTCATTAATTCACTTGTTAAAGATGTAGATAGAAATTAACTAAGGTTGATTAGAGCTCCGGTGGGGTAAGAGAGCACAGAGTGCTGCCAGCTGAAGAGCAGGCAAATAAATGGATCTTTGAATTTCATTTGGGGGAGTTGTTTGGCTTTTTTTGGGGGTGCGCGCCAGGTCACAGGTAGATGGCAAAAATGTTCATGTTCCGTGGCAATTGGTGTTGCAGCAGAAAGTCTTTTGCCTGTGCTGTATTTTTGCTGTGTGCTGCCTAGGGACCTCTGGGCAAAGGGTGAGTGGAGTTGATTTGTTTAAATTTTTTTCCCCCTCTCCTTGTGACAGGTATGGGCATTTTTCTGGTATTAACCGTAAGGTTCAGTTGACCTATCTGCCTCATGGACATCCAAAAGCTGCAAGTGAAGATGAAGGTAAAGAAACCTGATGTTGCTGCCATGATCTTCAAGCCCGGTGTTCAAGAGCACGTGCAGCTATCCTACCTATATAGGCCTCTGGACGTGCAAGCAAAATTACTGACCCATATCTTGCCTTCGCTCACATCATAAGGAGGGTTGGAGTGATGCATAATGTAGTGTACCAATACACCCCGGATGGTGCCACAGGGCTTATGCTTCCAATTTCATGAATGTCAGCCTATACCTGACATTATGGTAGTGACTCTTTATTTTGTACTTGCTGGTTTGGTTCCTGGGGATTTTGGGTCAGGCTTGTGTTGAGAACGCTCTGCAAGACGCTGATGACAACCTCTTCTTCCTCCCCTCCTCTCCCCCTGCAAGCTAGCTTTGAGATCTGATGTAGTGAGTACCTGTTTGTTTCCTAGAAGCTCGCCGAGAGTCTTCGCCATCCCTTCTCCTGGTGCTTAAGTGGGGTGGAGAGCTGACACCAGCAGGAAGAGTCCAGGCAGAAGAGCTGGGGCGAGCCTTTCGCTGTATGTACCCTGGTGGCCAAGGTAAGCATTGTCCATGTATCTCCGGTCCTGTCCTGGGACTGTGACAGGCTGCCCAGCCCAGGTGACTAATCACCAGTGTAAGGGATGCTCAGACATCTGTGGGCTGTGTGCAGCCTGTGTGACTCAGGTCATCACTGGTTTTGTTCTTTTGAGTTGACCTGGTAAGGGTAAATAATTTAAGTGGGTTTTGCACCCAAAGATCCCTAAGCTGGCTAGAGATGTCTGCTGCAGTGGTTAAACTTGAGTATGTCTTGGAGCACAATAGCATTCTTTCAACTGATGTGCCAGTATTCAAAAAAGAGAAACCATTCTAATAAGATACATTCTGATGCAGCAAATACGATTCAAAATTTCTGTATGATTAACAAGGAATTTAGGTCAGATGCAGAGAACAGAGGAAATCTATCTTGGAACACAGATAATTCTGCCTTGAGACAGGAGAATAGGAAGGTAACTTCTCCATATTTTTTCCACCACAATTCTGTGACTCTGAAAAACATTTGGTACACACACAGATCAACAAGAGCCCAAAAGGGGAAAAAAAAAAGGCTGAGATTGCCTTTTTCATCCAAGTAAAGAGTCAGAAGTAATACACTGCTACTGTATTGATCTGATGAGACCAGTATTGGATACTGCTTATCTTTGACTTGTATGTTTAATTAATTCAATTTAATTAATTAAATTTCAAATTAATTAAGCTAATTTAAATTGAATTGGAAAAGATTTCCTTCTGGAATAAGGAAGAGTTACCCTTGGTGGAAGAGGATCAGGTCAGGGAATACTTAAGCAAACTGGACATACATAAGCCCACGGGCCCTGACGGGATGCACCCACGAGTGCTGAGGGAGCTGGCAGATGTCACTGCGAGGCCACTCTAGATTATCTTTGAAATATTGTGAGGACTGGGGCGGGGGGTGCCTGAGGACTGGAGGAGAGGAAATGTCACTCCTAGCTTCAAAAATGACAAGAAGGAGGACCCAGGGAACTGCAGGCTGGTCAACCTCACCACAGTCCCTGGGAAGGTGATGGAGCAGCTAATCCTGGAAACCATTTCTGGGCACATGAAGGATAGGAAGGTGATTGGGAGTAGTCAGCATGGATTCACAAAGGGAAGTCATGCTTAACCAACCTGATAACCTTCTACAGTGAAGTGACTGGCTTGTTTACATGAGGGGAGAACAGTGGCTATGGCCTACTTTGATTTCAGTAAGGCTTTTAACACTGTCTCTGGTAACATCCTCATAGCTGATGAAGTACGGTCTGGATGAGCAGACAGTGAGGTGGATTGAAAGCTAGCTGAATGGCTGGGCTCAGAGGGTGGTGATCAGTGGCACAAAGTCTAGTTGGAGGCCAGGAGCTAGCGGTGTAGTCTAGGGGTGAAAACTGGGTCCGATCCTCTTTAATATCTTCATTAACGATCCGGATGATGGGGCAGAGTGTACCCTCAGCAAGTTTGCAGATGACACAGAACTGGGAGGAGTGGCTGATATGCCAGAGGGTCATGCTGTCGTCCAGAGGAACCTCGACAGGCTGGAGAAATGGGCTGGCAGGAACCTCATGATGTTCAACGAGGGGAATTGCAAAGTCCTGCCTCTGGGGAGGAACAGCCCCCTGCACCAATATATGCTGGGGGCTAACCAGCTGGAAAGTAGCTTTGCAGAAAAGGACCTGGGGGTCCTGGTGAACACCAAGTTGAACATGAGCCAACAATGTGCCCTTGCCATAAAGAAGGCGAATGGTATCCTGGGCTGCATTAAGAGAAGTGTTGCCAGCAGGTTGAGGGAGGTGAGCTGTGAGGTCAGATGCTTGTGATCTCAAGAGCACATTTTTAGCAAACGTGAGGATAAACTTTCCAAAAGATGAGAAAACTAGGTGTACATGGTGTTGCTTACTGCAAGGTGCCAACAAGTAGAGCAGACTGTCAGTGCACAGAGACTAAAGGAGGAGGAGCAGTAGTGGACAAAGGATCTTCATGACAAGGCCTGTGTGCCATTCTTGAAGATGGAAACGGTGAGTTAGAAAGGCTGGGGACTTCCTGGTGCTGTTGTGGATCTCTGAAGCCCGGAGCTGAGAGGATCAGCCACTGACTTGGACAAGAGACTGGGGAGACCAGAAGATAGTGTGCAGGAGAGGCAACTCCCTGTGGAAGTACAGGGAGTAGATTGCAGCGTAATGAGCCAAAACCTGAGAGAAGAGACCTGTCTGCAGAGCTCTGGTCAAGTGGAGTGTAGTTACCAGCAAGCTGGGCTGAGCCCTAAGGTATGGTCTATGTGAGTTCTGAACTGACTGCTCTGTATCTGGTGACCACCGAGTGGCTGCCCTTTTGCTCACAGTAGAGCTCGGTCTGAGCATGTACAAGGTGACTTCAGTCCTTCTGAATCATGGCTTTGGACACTTCTGCTTCACGTGGTCATTAATGGAGAGGGAGAGATCTTATTTTGGAGTGAGATGCTGTGTTCCTGGATAGCAGTTGGTACATGGCAGCTTTGTCCAGATATACAGCTGACTTCTGGCTGGTGTCTGTCCTTGTCTAGCAGGGTGTTTCTCTGAGTTGTGAGCTCAGAGCTCAGAGCAGTTTTCCCATCTTCTCATGCAATGTGACTGGGTACTGTGCAAAATCATCATGGGATTCCAGGCAGCAGCAAATTAGTCACCGCTGCACTATCTTTGGAGGGTCAGACTCAACAGCTGCATGAGTCGCTTTCTCCCATTGCTAATCTGACTCCTGTGGTTGACTCAGCCATCATAAATAAACCGGCATTTTGTGCCGCAAGATAATTGTAGCTCTACAGGATATGCTTTGGAAGCCAGGTGCCTCCCTGCTGAATAGCTCTGCCTGCAGTTCTGATGGCAGCAGTACCTGCTTTTGTGCAGAGAACAAGTAGAAGGAGGCAATTTTTTTTGTGCATCTTTATTCTGCACAGGGGTATTCAGGCTAACAGAATAATTATGGACTGTTCAGAGAGGGTTGCTGCAGAATTTGGGCAGCATCAGACTTGACTGGTGAATGCTCACTTTTTTCCTCAAAATGAACTTTCCGAAGTTAAGCAGAGCCTGAACCAGATTTCTGGTCATCATGTATGGCTAGAACTGTCTATTTTGGAGCAGCCTAAATGCTGGCTATGAAAGCGATTAATTCTCTGCATAACTTTGTTACTACAATAAAGTTTGTTGTCTAAAGCAGTATATTCAGCTGATAGTTTTGCACGTGTCAGAATATTAATTTTGAGTTTGTTCTCTGTTCCAGGTGATTACGCTGGTTTCCCTGGATGTGGCTTGCTCAGGTTGCACAGCACCTACCGTCATGATCTCAAGATCTACGCCTCAGATGAGGGACGAGTTCAGATGACAGCAGCAGCTTTTGCAAAGGTCCTTCCTCTCTTTTGGGCATCTGTTAGTTCTGCTACATTAGTCTTAAAATATGTCAGTTCTAAAGGAAAACCTCTGGTGATGAGGAAGGAGCTGTCTTAGGAACTTCCCCCTCTCTGTTGGGAGGACGGTGGTACACTATGCTAATAGCAAGTGTACGGGGCGGTACTGGAAATCCAGTGTCGTTGCACATGTATGTTACCTTTAGTATCCTGTCCAGGATAGGACTTTGACCAGAGAAGGAGTTATTTATGGAGTATTGCTGGTGTTTGATGTTAGAGCACAAGTATTAATTGCCTACAAATTGAGTGTTTCTTGGATGACTGCCCAGCCAGAGAGGTTCTTCCTTGACTGCTGGATTTAAAAGGGGAATGAAATGTCTTTGGTGCAGTGTGGGGTGGGGGTTGGGGAGAAGACAGGTTCATCTGCAGTTAAAGCTTGAGCCAAGGGAAATCCTCTGGTGACCTTAGCTGTTCTTTAGAGCCTCTGCTGTATCAACATTTTCTACCGGAGTTGGCTGCTCAACAATTGCCTAGACAAATCTTGGGCTGCTGCAGGCAGAGCTGGCCTTTTGCCTCGAATAGCTCTAGAAGCATGCCAGAGTCACTGGTGACTAGGTGCTGTTGCTGTAAAACTGCTCTTCAAGGACAGTTGAGATTTCACTCAAGTTGACTGAAGGCTGGCCATGAATGAAACTACCAGAAATGTTTGTTGCTTGGGTTGTGCATAGCTGAAATCTTGTCCTGTGTTGCTTTAGGGTCTGCTGGCCCTGGAAGGAGAGCTGACCCCCATCCTAGTGCAAATGGTGAAAAGTGCCAATATGAACGGTCTCCTGGACAGTGACAGTGATTCCCTTAGCAGCTGTCAACACAGAGTGAAGGCACGACTGCATGAAATCATGCAGAAGGATGCTGAGTTCTGTGAAGAGGATTATGAAAAGGTAAAGCACCTGTGTGGCTTTGTTGCTTCCTGTATCTGGAAGGAGAATAGCATTGCTCCAGTGGTTTGATGTGAAGCCTGCTGGTATGTGAACAGTAGTTTGGTTAGTGTGAGATCAGTTCTGGTCAAAATTACAGGATATAAACAGAACTTAGGAAGGGAAAGGGCAGGTTAATAGCCCCTGCCCTTCTCCAAGTGAAAATCCTCAGTGTTGCTCCACTGTCCCCTTCAAGAATCATCATGGTACCTTCCTCTCCTTTTAGAAGTCCCAGTGCATTTTATTCTCGTGGGTGTGCTAAAAGAAGAGTTCTCGTGGTTTACTGCAGGCTGCCCAGAACAATCCCAGTTGCTGTGGACAGGGAGTATGCCTTGCCAGATTCTAGATCCGTGCTCTGTGCATGTGTGAACAGATCTTTTGGATACAAACCCTTTTGTGGTCCTATCAGTGTCTGATAACTGCAGAATAGAGAGCATGGGCTGCATCCAGCACAGCAACCAATAAAAGCACTATAGCTGCTTTTTCAACAAGTCCCCAAAACGCTATTTTTCCTGGACTCTCAGATCTGATTACCGGAATGATATCCATTACCATTAAGGAACATATTTATCACCTCAAAGAACTACTTAAAACTTCTATGAAGCCCTTCTGCTCAAGCACAGAAGCAAAGTGAGACAAGAGTGGATATTGTAGGTGGAGGGAGGTCTGATCTGATAGGAGCGGTTGTTTGCTCCCTCTGAGTTTGGTCCTGAGGAAGTTTTTAAAACTTGCCTAACTACCCTTAGGAATAGGCCAGCTTATTACACTCAGCTGGGAGCACAACTTTTGTACCTAATCAGAAAGTAGTACAGCTGCAAAAGGCAGACATTTTGTGTTCCCAGTTTGTAAAGATACTAATTAATCTCTACTGGTATCTTCTCTCAGCTAGCACCTACAGGCAGTGCTTCTCTGCTCAACTCCATGACATTTATCCAGAACCCAGTAGAGGTCTGTAACCAGGTGTTCACCCTGATTGAGAATCTCACCTCCCAAATACAAAAACGTCTGGAAGACCCAAAATCTGCAGGTGAGCATCAGAACTGGAAAGTGTCTGGAGCAGATTCATTTATTGTTATATCTTCAGAGCTCCCAAACATGACGATGGTTTATGTTTGTCTGTATCAAAGAAATTCTAAAATGAAATTCTCTATATGCTATTGATGTAGAAGTCTCCTATTCCACTTTCAACTACTGTTAAAGAGAGCTGTAATTTAAAGGAAATGATATGTGCATCTTGGGTTTAGAGTGAATGTAAACAGCAGCAGTACAGCCTGGAGAGGTATGCCTGATTTTTTCAAGCATTTCCTGGAGGGGAGCTCAAGACTATAAACAGCAAGTTTTTCAGTCACGATTTGCTTGTCTCTAAGAACTTTCCTAATAACAGTGCAGAGGTTTTAAAAAGGCATCTGTGGGACATTTCACACGATTTATGGCAGACATAAGCCGACAGGCAAGCAGTTTCACTTTTCTCAAGTATTTCAAGTAGCTTATTGCTGCAGGTTAAAACTCCATGCAACAGGTCCAGTGGCTTTTCCAGTCTAGGATTCCTGTGGGTGACATAATAATCAGAGCCCTTCTGTGCTGGGAGAAGTCAGTCATAGCTGTCACTTGAAATCTATGCAGAAGTAGTCAGGATGTGAATGTGGTTTGGTGTTCTCTGCTGTTTAGACCTGCAGCTGTATCACAGTGAGACTTTAGAACTGATGCTGCAACGCTGGAGTAAGCTGGAGCGAGATTTCCGCATGAAGAATGGGCGTTACGACATCAGCAAGATCCCTGATATCTATGACTGCATCAAGTATGATGTACAGCACAACTGTGCACTGAAACTGGAAGGCACAGCTGAACTCTTCAAACTCTCCAAAGCCCTGGCAGATGTGATCATACCCCAGGTATAGCCTGTCCTGCCTGTGTGACGATGTCTGTGGTGTCAGTTTCTGGCCCTTTCCCTGTCTGTTTTTTCTCGATTCTCTTGCACATTAACTCCCAAGGCAGCATATCACAGGTTCTTCTCAGATATATCTCTTAATGTTTGTATGAGGCCAAAACCATTTATGACTTAAGATGTGGCAGGGCTGGCTTCCTGGATGAGGATTCTAACAGCGTCAGAATAATGAACAGCTGACGCAGCAGCTTTTCCATGTTCATCGTAGTGCATTATAGCACAGCTTTGAGCTGAGTGTGTGTGCTATAGCAACATCCCATTCTCCACATACAAGATTGTACAGGGGAAAAGAGATTTCTGTGGTAAAGTGAAGGCTTTTTCTGGCAAGTTTGTTATTCTTGTCAAACTAGAACTTGTTCAGTTTGCAAAGTTGGCTTGCTTCTCACAAAGTTTATGCCCGTGAACAATGGGAGAGGAAAGGAGGGCCCCGTGCAATGGATTTCTGTATTCACCATTGTTCTGTCCCACTTCTGGCAGAAATGCTTTGTTTATATGGGATCAGCTTGTACTAGCAAGGTCCAATCGCACTTGTGCCCATGTAGACCAGAAGTGGTCTTCTAAACTTTTTCACAGTGCTCCTGATGAGATGCAGTTTGGCTATTTCCAGCATAGCACTTCAAGTTTTATCTTTGCAAGTAGCAGTTGTTGCATTAATGCTCATGCCAGGTCAGGGTATAAGTTTGTGTGTCATGAGAGGAGGTTCCCTGATGGTACTTGCACCGCTCAGCTGTTGGAAGAATACTGACGGTCATGTCTAGACAGATAGGGATTCTTGGAGGAGTCTCTGTCCTCTGTTACCCTCTGCAATATGTGGAAAAAAAAAGAGGAAGATGCTGGGTGACATTTCCCTTTCTGCCCTAGCTTAACTGTAGTGGTGCTTGTGGACAGGACTGTTGAAGTCCAGCCTCCTTTCATGTGAGGATGTGGCAAAGAACCAGGGCTCAAGGGTATCTATTGTTTTGTTCCTGCAGGAATATGGGATTAATAAGGAGGAGAAACTGGAGATTGCTATTGGCTTTTGTCTTCCTCTCATTAAAAAGATCCAGTTGGACCTACAGAGAACCCATGAAGATGAGTCTGTCAACAAACTACATCCCTTGTAAGGACTGTGCTGCATGCTGCTGCTGGTGGGGAGGGCAGCTTTGGAGCAGTGTGTGGGAACCATGCCAGAAGAGTGTACTGGTGTGGAAGGAGGCACTGAACATAAACTGAAGGACACACCGAGAGAGAGGCATGCTGGTGCTCCTAGAACTAGAAGGGAAATGGAAAGGCACATTGAGACTGCTGAGTGGGAGCATGGTGCCACAGAAGCTTAAACCCATTGTAGTTGGATGGTGGTGCCTTCATCCCTGTCTCTGCAAGGGGCAAGTGCTAGTATGATGAGGCCACCTCTGCCTCACCATGTATCTCCATTAGGATACCATAAAACTTGCTGCTTCTGTGCCCAATGCTCTCACTGTTTGTTCTGTTCCTGCTGCTCTTTGACAGTTCCCAGTGTGGGGTTATCTTATTCCGTTAAGCGTGCAGAAATGCTGCTGTATGATAGATGGCAATTCATTGGCCGGCTATGAGTAACACTGGGCTGATTTTGGTTTAGGTACTCAAGAGGAGTTCTGTCACCAGGTCGCCATGTTCGGACACGGCTCTACTTCACCAGTGAGAGCCATGTGCACTCTCTGCTCAGTATCTTCCGCTATGGGGGGCTCCTGGATGTAAGTGTCCCAGCAATGCTCACAGAGTAAGCCTCCCTGCTTTTTTTCAGTGGCCCTTTCCAAGGTGGACAGTGTACGTTTGTAGGTTGCCCCTCTAGCCAGCTCCCCCAGTAATGATGTGCATCAGTGGCCTCTGGCCCACTCCATCTCTGCTGTGTTTGCATGCTGCAGCTTCCTGCCTTTCTGGCACGTAGGAGGATTGTTCTTCCTCAGTCCTGACACTGCCTGCCTTGCTTGTACAGAGGCATGTTTTCTCCAAGAGCTGTCCTGCTGGTTTCAGATGAGTGGACCACTTACCGGTGTAGGAGGATAGCAGTATGAAGCGATGGGGATGAGGGAATTTCTCTCTTCCTGCTTCCTTCAACCCTTTATTTCAAGAGCTTGGTCCTGTTATTTAATGACTTTCTGTCAATTCTAAGTCAAGAAAATCAAGTTTGCTTACAGAGGAAGTGACTTGAAGTTGCAAATGCATAGGGGGTGCTCTCTACCAGAGGGACGGATGACACATTTTTAGGGGACTAACTCATCCAATCCAACATTCACTTGCTCTCATAACCTGCTTCCTGAAGGAACTGGCATGCAGACCCTGAGAAAAGCTCTGCTTTAGACTCCTCAAGAGACTCTGATTTATCGTCCCATTTTTAAGCATGGTGTTCTGAAATGTCTTGAGAGTTTGGGCTTGCTTAGCAGGTGTGATTTCTGATGTCTGTGGAAGCTCAGTGTATCTGTAGGCAGTGATCATGCAAATACCTCTGAATTGCTCACTGAATAGTATGCTACTTTATTCCCTGACTTGAGTGCCAGAGGATGCTGTGTTGCCAGCACAGGGATATTAGGCTGCATCTGGGTTTTTTTGTACTGGTGGGGTTCATTTCATGTCCATCAAGGTAGTGAGATGAGCATGAGTGAAGCAGGTAGTGAAGCAGCATGAGTGGCACTTCAGGTACGGCCATTCCCTAGCAGTGTTGGGAAACAATGAGGGGTGGGCTGCCCTGCCTTGTGAAGCCCAAGGGTCCAGCGTGACTCTGTAGACTTTTCATTCAGCATCGTGTAAAAGCAGCTTCACTTGGTCCCTTATTTAGCACAAGTTCATCCCTTGGGCTTTTTTTGACATTTCTCTAAAATACTCCGTTCTGTAGGCCACTATTTGAGAATGACTGTCTTTGGGAACCTGCTGTGGGTTATGCTTTTCTCCAGTCAGCATGGCATAGGGGGCTTGCAGCTGGATGTGCTCAGATCTGCACGTGGATTGTATGGGTAGCTGTAGTGTCCCTCTATGCAGTTGCTCCTTATTGTAAGCACCCCACCCTCATTGCAAGGTCATCTCTCTTCATGCAAGTTAAGCAAGGTGTTTTTTGTCCTGACAATGTTGTTATCTTGTGGAGAGACAAACTCTCTCAGACCCATTTCACTGAATGCTGCAAAATGTCTGCTGTTGCTTATTCCATGCGACTGTTTATGTGTATATATCAGGAAAACAAAGACCAGCAGTGGAAGAGAGCCATGGACTATTTGAGTGCTATCTCAGAGCTGAACTACATGACCCAGATTGTTATCATGCTCTACGAGGACAACAACAAGGTGAGGGATATAGCTGTAGGATAAAATCCTTCCTGCCCTGATGCAAGGCACAGTCCCCGAGAGATGAGTTCAGCTGGGAAGTTTGTAACCTGAGCTCTCTCCGCTTGTGAATAAAGATGGACGGATCGTTAACACAACTGCTAGTTTTTATTTTTAGGTGGGAGGCAGTGACCCAGTTAATGCTTGTTACATGTAAGTGGAATGCCACCCTGAGCAGTAATACCAAACTTAAGTAATCAATACTATCTATTTTAAAGCATTTCCTGAAGCAAAATAATTTGCTGTTTCTTAATATTAATTATAAATGAACAGTAGGAAAAAATAAATAAAACCAAATTATATTTGGCATTTTTTTCCAAATATTTCTAGAAAATATCCAGAAATTCCACATTCATAAACTTTTTTTATTTTAAAAATATACTGATATAGTTAGGGAAGTATATACTGATGTCTTCAGGAAGTAAAGAGAATCATTTAAAAAACAGCTGGAATGTGGAAGCTGATGGTGATGACCATAAGTAGGTTTGGCACCGAATTGCACATACTGAATCCCAGGTCCTGTGACTCAGGTCCTCTACTGCAGGAGGTTGTAGTGGGTGAGGGGAGCACTCCCTTTCCTCCATATGCTATAGAGTTAGAATCTTGTATTCACAGAGCTGATGTGGGGTTTTAATAGTAGAAGTGAAATATTTCCTAGTGCTGTTTGTCAAAAAACCCCCCCCAAACTCTCAACAGAGCTCTTAGGAGTGGGGTAAATCTGTTAGTAAGTAGAGATGGTGAAACTTTCGGTTTTGCATCATTAATGCCAGATATTGCAAAAGCTCTGGCTTCCCTTAAAAGAAAAATTAAAAAAAAAAGTAATATTAGAGACAGTTACTTAAATCTTGGAACAACCCAACTAAAGGTCCAGGAAGGAACCAATCTCTCCCTGCCCCAGTGTGCGCTGGTTTTGCAACAGGAGTGGATCGGAAGGGGGTTTAGGTTTGTGTGTATATATATATATATACATATAGCCCAATTCTGTTTTGGTCCTCTGGTGGCTGTTGTCACAAAATAACAACAATTTGAATGCCTCAGCTTTGTGCTATTAAGGGCTGTCCTTTTGGATGAGACAAACCTAGAGCCATTATGTTCATGGATTCTTGTTGCTTCCGCTTTCCTTCCAAAAGGATGCGCTTGGGATATGTGCTGCACCGGCATGGCAGGGTGGCCCAGGTCCAGACTATGCTGACAGTGGGACTGATTCTTATTTACTTATTCCCTGTGCCTCACGTTCACAGGATCCATCTTCAGAAGAGCGTTTCCATGTGGAGCTGCATTTCAGCCCTGGTGTGAAAGGCTGTGAGGAAGACAGAAACGTGCCCACAGGGTTTGGCTTTCGGCCTGCCTCTGCGGAGGTGAGCACGCTGCCCGGACACAGGTTGCCCTGCCTGCTGGGGATGTGGCGAGTGTGGGCCCGTCGGCAACCTTGCTGCTCTGCCAGGCTCTGCTGCCATCCAGCCTCCAGCAGCAATTTTTTCGCTGACCTTTCTCTTGTGCTTGCGGGCTGTTAGCGGGTTATGTTCCCTGCCTAACTCCGAGGGTTTGTCAGGGCAGTCTTTGAGAACGCTGGTTTCCTCCAGCAGAGGAGCTCAGAAGAGCTGGGAGATCCAAGGCTGGAGTCAGTGCCTGGGCAGTGCTTGCGAAGGCCACGTGCCTGTAGGTGTCAATGTTTCCTTACTGCAGAATGAGGACAAGAAAGCAGACCAAGGCAGCCTGGAGGACCTCTCCAAAGAGAAAGGCATCCATGAGCCAGATCGCGCACAGCAAAGGTCTCCGCAGCCTTCCGAGCCGGTCAGCATTCAGCGAAGATCACCGCTGATCAGGAACCGGAAGACAGGGTCCATGGAGGTAACAATGCAATGGGTGCCCTTGGTTGTTCTAATGAAGGTCTTTTGCTTGGTTTAGGTTTCCTGGCATTCCTTTTAACGTGCCCGAGTTTGAGTTGATTCTGGGAAAGGATCTGCAGAAGTTAAAGGGGATTTTTTGGAAGGCAGACCTCCCAAACTCCTCCTCATTGAGGAAGGATGGGGGAACACAGGTCAGAGGAATTGATGAGGAAGAGCAAGTAAGGAAATGCTTGAGAAACACAAGAATTACTTGGGTTACATGCTCTGTAGAGGCATCAATGTAACCAGCTACGAGATTGCATGCAACCTCTTCACCTAGCCATGGTGACATCTTTGCCTTCCCTCTTCCCTTAGACTCCAGCCTTTGCCTCTCACAGTTCAGCTCCACATTTCTTGTTCCTGTCTCCCATCTAAGATCTCATGCAAATCAGAGGTGTCTGCTAACCAGCGGGTTTATTACAGTGTTTAAACTGTCATAGGGTTTAGAACTGTCCCATTCACTGATCTGCTAAAGTAACAAAGATTGATTTTACTCTTCTTGCTTCTGTCCTTCAGGACCGTTATGTGTCATAAGGCTAGCTTCACAGTCAGCAGGTAGCTGGCACCTTCAAAGTGCTCTAGAAATTGCCCCTCCTTTTGGAGGGGTTTCACAGGCGTTTTTGCTATCTGTTTTCTGAACCAGTGAAAGCAGAGAGTTAGGGCTCGAGGTATTTGTTAGCTGGCTTCCATCTCTGTGTCACTCATGATGTAATCTTTGCATGCAGCACTCAGGGGGCTCTTTGTAACAGGCATGTACTAAGTTAAAGGGGATATACTTTCCTGCTGCTAAAGAAGGAAGTCTATGTCCCACTGATTCCAGCAAGAGTCTTGGGAGACAGGGAGCTCAGTACATGAGTCCCTTCATATTTTTGAAATCTCCACTGTTCCACAACCCAACACAAACTTGAAATTAAAATTGAGCATGCACTGTCACAATCTTAGCATATGAGTCCCTTTATGCTTCTTGCAAATTATGATTTTAAGGAAGAGACATATTTTTCTTTACCTTCAATTGACGTATAAAGGCTTTTGAGACCAGTGGGTAACTTAGAGCACGACACTGATTATACTATCTGTCTTTGCAGGTGCTATCTGAATCTTCTTCCAAATCAGGAGGTTATCGCCTCTTCAGCACTTACTCCAGGCAGTCTTCTGAGATGAAGCAAAGTGGCTTAGGTACTGTACTTGACCTGTAACCAGCCTGCTCACCTGTACCTCTGTATTTCTGTGGGCATCTGTCTGTCTCTCCACATATACATCTGACTTAAGTTCCTTGTATGTCTCTCTGTGTGTATTATGTCTTCTTTTAGTGTTACTGTTTAGACCACTGTAGAGACTATCTTACTGCATTTCCTTCTGTGTATGATCTTCTCCTTCAGCTTCTAGCAACAGAAGATGCACTTTTCATCCTTTCTAGTATGGGAGCAACAGAGCAAGCTGCGTATTTGCAGGTTGGCCTTCTGGTTCCATGTTGTTATCGTTTGTTATACCATTTCTGAACTTAGTAGGAAGAGATGATTTTGTGTAAGAACTAGCGTGCTTTCTTTTCTGCAAAACAGTAGTTTACATGCAAAGCTGCTCTTCATGTAAGACTATTATATTTCTACCTTTGCTTCATAAAGATCTCTTGTATGGAACAGATCTGTCATCTGCAACAGTGTTTGACAGCTCTCTAATTGAGCTGGAATCCCTGGTTAGCCATTCTTTGCATGGTAGCCAGTGGAAGAGACTATTTTGGGGCACTTGGTGTTCTCTGCCTGTCCTTGAGAGTACCATTCCCTGTCATCCTAACCTAAACTGTGTCTTAATAGTTGAAATTCTTCCTGAAACAGTTTTGCTGAAGCAAGATCTTTTTGGAAACTGAAAAGCTGTCTTTGCTGTCATGAGGTTCAAAGATAGCTGTGAAACCTAGATCTTGCAGATGACTAATAAGCACCAGGAGGTGGAAATGCCCAAGTTATGCCCACTTTCTTTTTCTTTAAAACTGTTTTTGCATTATGGCATGGCCGTAGACTTGCAGCAGTTCTGACTCATCAGTTCTTTACTCAGTTATGTGGACATCCTGCAGCGAAGAGATTTCTGAAAGGCCTGATCATGTCTTTGTCACTTTTGAATGAGCTGCTGCTTTGGAAGCTAATTCTTACCAAGTAAGGGGAATTTTCTTCAGAGTAGTTAGGAAGTATCCCTGGAGTCTGCCAGCTATGCTACCAGCCAGTTGGAAAAGTCTAAGAAGGAATCGCTGATGCATGTTATTTTCATAAAGGCACAATAGCCTTGGCCATAGTGGATTTTGAATGTGCTATTTCATGTGGTGCATCTACTTACTTCTGCCTTTCACAGACCACCTGCAGGATTAAGTAAGCTGTAATAGACTACCTTGCTTAGGCTTGAAGAAACCTGTGGTTATTCTGTGAATACCTGTGAAGCAATATGAGAATTTCTGAGATGGCACACAGTCAAGGAAGTGCATCTGCTTGGAGAATTAATGAGTACATCAAATGCTTCATGCAAACTATCTTTACTGTTTGGATGTCTGAGTACCTGAAGGCATGTGCTCCGGAAAGCAGATACTGCAGCCTGTTTACTGCAGCCTTTTCCAGGTTTCTGAGGAATGTCTGTTTTGGCAACAGAGAAGACTACTACTCTACTGGACCCTTGTACAGCACTACTTTTCCTTGACAACAAAATTTGAAATGTGATCCTAGCAGGTTTAATTTCAGGTTCTTGCCTGACTTGCCTTGCTGGGAAGCCTTTGCTGGTCACTCTCCCAACTGTGAAGCTCTGCAGAGTAGGAACTTTGAGTAGGAACTGATAGACCTGATCTGTGACAGTAAATCTCTAGCTGGATACTCAGCCCAGCCATCGTTCTTCTCTGTAGAGTCTTGCAGCTGCAGGCACAGAAGAGTTGAGCAGGAGAGACCTGTGGTGCAACACTAGCTTGTACAATCCCTGTTTATTAGGATGTCTGTGTTTCTGTGAATTTCTCTTAACCTGAGAACTGTTAAGAAGAATGATGCCTCTTTACCTGTAAAAATCAAGCTCTTCAAGGAATCTTCCTGATTCTTTTTCTGCCTGTTTTGTAGAAATCTAATTTCTTCCCACTTTAGGATTTGAAATGTACTCTCTCTGGGAGAAATAATATAGAACTCATGGGAGCTTGAACTTTGGCTTTAATGCTTGTCTCAGCAGCTGTGCTATGAGGGGGTTCATTCAGATACTACCTGCTGTTTCTGAGCTTTTCTGAAATTGACCCTGTCTCCTGTTGCCTGACCTTGTCAGTGGCTGGCTATCGTTGTCTCTGGGAGAATGGATTCTCTGGGAGAATGTCTGTTCAGGTATAACCTCATATGTTTAGGCATGCAAGAATGGGGAGCAGGACAGAGCTCCTATAATAATCCTGCTGCCATACCTGCCAGAATTGTGTCTTTACTGTAATTTAAAAAGATTCCTTGAAATGTCTGTTTGGAAAAGGGGCGGGCTGCAGCTTGCTTTGTCTATGCAAAGTGGTGCTTTGGAGTATGCCAGGTTTTTCTGGGCAGGAGCGAGTGCATTATTGTGGTTTGTCTGCAACAGTGTGCATGCTTCTAACTTGAGAAGCCTAGGGAAGTTTCAGTGCCTTTCTTTGCTTGCAAGAACACTTCAAAATGGGGTAAAATCACTCCTTGCTGTTTGAGCAATAGAGGTGGTGTATTGCTGGTGGGCATGAAGCTTTGTGCTGAGACGCACATTCCTGTAGGGAAGTAAGGGATGTCCATTTTTTAAACGTCTGAAACATTGAATGTACATCTGAAAATTAAATACACAAAAAAGATCCAGCACGTACAGTAATTTCTAGCAAATGTTGCTACATCTTAAATCCAAATGGCTAGTGTACCATTATGTTCTTTAGGATGTGCGCGCGCGCGTGTGTGTGTGTGTTAACTTTGGCTACAGTGGTCTCCTAGAGTTCACTGTAGACAATTGCTGTCGTCCGTAGAGTCATCTTTGTAAATACTCTTCTGGCTTAAGGATGCTAACAAAATGCTTCTGTCTACTGTAGGATAGCAGAAACACTGGGGTATCCTTAGCTTAATGATTAGTGGCACGAGGTTGCTCAAGATACAAAGTCATAAAAATCTGTTCCATTTTTATCTGCCAGTAAATGAGTCTGTTGGGCTTTTTTATTGTTGTTTGTTTGTTTGTTTGTTTGTTTTTAAGCCATGGAAGGATGATTAGGAGCATCATCCTGGCTGCTGCTTGACAAAATTTTGTTTGCATTCTGACAGATTCCAGTGCATGCTGAGTCAGCACTGAGCTTCAATTTAAGGCATTAGGAGGAAATTTTCTAAGACTTGTGTATCAGTCACCTTGCAGGCAAGAGTTCTTTGACTGTTTGTCCAAGGACACGTATGTGCTAGTCTGTCCTGTGGAAAGCTACCAGTGGTGTCACAGTGGTGGAGTAGCTTAAGTTCAGTGCATATGAGAACTCTTTCGGTCATCCCCCACTGTTCCCAGGAGCAGATATTGTCAGCTTAGACTGAGCTTATATGTGATAACTCAAAACTCTGTATCTGTGTGTTTTCTCCAAAGAAGCTCTGGCTAAAAAGGAGCTTTGCAGAGAAACAGTTGGGGTCCTGAAGAGCAAGGAGCGGACATGAGGCAGCAGCATGTCCTTACAGCAAAGAAGGCCAATGGCATGCTTTGCTGGATTAGCAGGAGTACAGCCATCAGGCTGAGGGATTTGGTTCTTCCCCTTTATTCACCTCTTGTGAGACTGCGTCTAAAGTACTGCTGTCCTGTCCTGGGCTCCCTAGTGCAAGAAGGGTGTGGATGTAGCGGGTGTAAGCCCACTAAGGGGCAGTGGAGGTGGATGGGGGTTGAAGCACATGACCTGTGAGGAGAAGCTGAGAGAGCGGGGCTTGTTCAGATCAGAAGCTGTGGGGAGTGGAGACCTTAATGCTGTTCAACCACCTAAATGGGAGGTCACAGAGAAGACGGATACAGACTGCCCTCCAAGGCACGTGGTGATAAGATGAGAACCAACAGACGCAAGTTGCAGCATGGGAAATTCCATTTAGCTAGGAGGAGCAAATTTTTCACCATGAATGTGCCAGCTGTTGGAACAGGGGCCCAGAGAGGTTGTGAAATCTCCTTTCTTGGAGGTATTCAAAACTTGACTGGACAAACCCTAGCAAGCTGATCCAAGTTGGCCCTGCTGGGGCATTGGGAAAGAAGCCTCCAGAGGTTCCTTCCAACCTAAATCATGCTATGCTGCTGTATTTTAGAATCAAGAGCTGCTTGCAATATAGGCAGGATCTTTTTAACAGTAGTAACAGTTGCACTGTTCCAGTTAAATACTAATAGGCAGTATGTCAGTTTTTTTGCCTTGGCAGACAAGGTGGAACAAGATCTACCTGCCTGTTTTTGTATGAGGGAGTAATGTTGTTTTTAGCCATTGGTATTCTCAGTACAGAATGCAGCATCAAGACGGTTTAGCAGAGAATTTATAGCCAATCAGTGGCTTTGTCTGGCCCATAATAAGGTTTTGTCTCACTCACAATTGCTTTCCTCAATTGAAAGAATCCTATTTCAAATGCCCGATGTTCCTAAATATCACATAAAGTCAAGTCACTCTACAGAACACTGTGCCTTAGAGAAACAAACACCAGCAGTTGCCAAAGCCACCGGTATTAGGTTGCCCTCCAATGCATGAGGCCATCTTGCATGCCATATTCCTTGCCATAGGGTAAGCAAAGTTCCATGCTGTGTGTGCATCTGGTGCTTTGCAAGGGTAGTTCATGGAACAGTTGGACTACTCTGGAGTAGCAAGACATGACCAAGTGGATGTGAGATATCATCTGGGCAGCAGCTTGTGAAAGAAAGCTCTCTGGTCACATTGCTTTTCTTACTGCTTGACAGAGTGATTAATCCACATTTGCTGATCAACAGATCAGGCAGTCCTTTCTTCTCCTTGGTGTCCTACAGAAAAAGGAGCTTTCCAAAGAGAATGGGCAGAAGAGCAGAGAAATGAAGCCCTGTGACATGAACATTAGTGATTTGGCATCCTGGCTTCTCTGACATGAGTATGTAGATTTGCTGACTGGAGGGCGTCAAGGTGTTTCTCCTAGGTCAGGGCACGAAAACCAAATGGAAATAAACCCCTGGACAGAGTTAGGAACTTTCCTGGTGCTGAGTTTTGGGCTACCTGTTGTGCATTTGGCACTGCTGAATTTAGAATGGGGAATACTGCCTCCCTGTGCTCCCCAGCATCATTTTTTTGTCCTGAGATTGCCTGTGAAGTGGCCAGTTCGTTCCTCATTCTTTGACTAACCCTGCTTTTCTGTAGTTGCATGCAGTGGAGATATAATACTAACACCTTCCATGCCTTTCCAGGGTCACAATGCACCGGCCTGTTTAGCACCACTGTGCTGGGAGGCTCCTCCAGTGCCCCCAACCTCCAGGACTACGCACGCAGCCATGGCAAAAAGTTTGCCAGCAGCCTGACATACAAAGACGGTATGTGTGTTCCCTGTGCAGCAGGTGGTTAATTTGTGGACTTTGGTGTCTCAGGATGCTCCTGAGGCAAAGACTTAGACTGCTAAGAAGAATGACAGTTGAATGTGTATATTCGCCGCGTATACAGTAACGCATTTTATCATATCCCAAGAAATTGTGATCCTTGCTAGGACAAGATAGGAGCTGACATTGTGTGAGGAGTTTTATGCTGATGTATGGCATTGCTGGGGTCTGATTTTGGTCTGACATTTTAATACTACTTGCTGTTGTGGGGGAGGATTTATTGGTCTAGATATTAAATAGGTTTATCCTGATACGGAAATCCAGCACATCACATCATCTTGCTTACCTTGGTGATCTAGCTGATGCTAAATGAAACTTTTGTGGAGACAGTAATCCTCACCCTATGGAAGATGGAGCCATCCCAAAGGCAGAATGATATGCTTGGCAGTAGATAAGATGGGTACTTTTCTGGGCACCCAGAAAAGTCCGAGGTAGCTGTCAGAAAGTAAGTGTAATATGCCTGCAGTGCTTGAGGTAAGTGGGATACTTGGATGAAATACTGCAAAAGGACCGGAAAGTCTAGTTATTGTGCAGTTCTGCAGAAACTGCCTTACATTTTACCAGATTGTCTTGCTGAACTTTATTTGGGTCATTAGTTTAAATGTTGCCCAATGCACATGGGTGAAGAGGTGTTGCCAGCTGCGGATTGATCTGCAGTTAGTACTAGTGCGTTATGCATTGAGAAGCAGAGAGTGTGTTGCTACTTTCAAGAAAATTGGAGCACAGGGAAAGACACAGGTATCCTGGAGGAGTTGGAGGGGTGTAATGCACAAGTGCAAGTGTCCGTTGTGATCCCGATAAGAAAGGCACTCAGACTCTGTAAGTACTGATTAACATACCATTTGTTGGAACGCTGAGTTGAGCAGCATTGAACGAAGCACTCCATGGATAGGATCTGCACAGCGTGCTGTGTCCTAGTTGGAAATCCACCTAATGTTGCAAAACTTGGGCTTCCCAGCATCTGAACGGATTTAAGATTATCTATCCTCTCTTTTTCCTTTTTGTGTTGGTTCTAACAAATGGTATTTTAATCAATACTTTACAGAGTCTGAGAGCCTTTCTTGTCTGGATCATAACAAACACTAGCACTGGTGGATTACAAGGTGGGGAGATGATTAAGGCAGTGGTTTGCGGCCTTTGGGGAAAACAGGAGGTTGGTTCATTTGGACTTTTGTCCAGTTCTGAGGCAAGGAAAATGGCCTAGCAAATCAGGGTGGAAAGATGCTCTCCAATTCTCAGACCTATTGGAATCTCATGAATGCCGTTGTATTGAGACCATTGTGTATACTGGCTTTCTGTGCTGCTTTTCACTGTGTAAGAGAAAACTGTGTTGCTTCTCACCTGCCCAGGGAGCTCCCTAGCACACAACAGGCTGTGAGTGACAGAGACAGGGAGGGTGAACTGGGAGGATTTTAAACCCTGCTGTACCAGTCTGAGCTGCTCAAGGCAGCAAGTGCTGGCTACTCATAGGTCCCAGAATAAGCTCATGGTGTTTGGCACAAGATGGGGGTGTGAATACCAGGGGAGCCGCTGAAAAGGCCAGCAAGGGCTCTGGCTGCTTTTCTTCCATAACTCTGCAAGCAGCATGAATCCAAGGCAGCACTAATTCTGAGTGAAAAGCATCAAAGACTGCTTGCTCTGTATCCAGCTGGGAATAGAACAGATTCTGCTCAGTTCTGGTGCTGTGCTGCCTTTCTCTGTAGGCTGTATAGTAGGAGTGTGCCTGCAACTGGCTACTCGCATTCAAGGTCCAGAGCAGAGTCCTGCTGCATTAGCCTAAATTCAGTGACAAGGTCTCTGTGTGCTGAGACGCAGTTGTACCCTCGAGTACTTAAAAGGCAGACTTATTTAACTAGTGTGTGACTAACACAGCCCAGAATTATTCATCTTGATGTTACACTTCTTTTTTCATGTTTCTTAGTGTGCTATGGTACCCTGTGCTACCAGCGTCTTGCTGCAATAAGAGCAGTTGTGAGGAAGAAGCGGTGGGCTTGGAAAAACAAGTAGGAGGCAGAAGGGCGTTTAGCTTCTGGGGAAGGTAGCTTGGAATGTGAAATAGGCCCCTGATCTGCATATTCCTGCTTAAATGAGCACCAATGAAATGCTAAACAATGGCATTTAAACCAAATATTACTAGAGCTAAATACAGTAAGTGACACAGCAGCTACAGCAGACTCTTGGAGTACATTGGTATCAAGGCCTTTTTCACAGTCGTCAGGCTAGTAATGTTTAAAAACCTTCAGATTCTGGAGCACATCTTTGCATGAACTCTTTGATATTTTTTCATGGCTGTGATGCTTCAAGCGTGGTGCATGGCTTATAGCACTTCATCAAAGACTCGCTCAAGTGAAGTTAAAATGGCCCTCATTTCTGAAGTCTTTTTTGCTTGGGGCTGGAAGAGGACTAAGGAACACTTCAGTGGAAAGTTGTATCCCAACCTCAGGTTGAGCGAAGGTCCACTGATGGTTGTGATTTGAAGTTGGCTTGTCTGAAGCCAGGGATCCAGTAAGCTATGTTGCAGTACCATTTAAGTTGATGTGCTATAAAGGCAAGGGGGAGATGTGGGGTGGAATGGAGGTGGTTACCAGCTGGCTGACTGCAGCTCCAGGACTTCTAAGGGATTGCAAGTGTAGGGAAGATTGTCATGCTCTATTTGTTGGGTGTAAAGAAAGAAAAACAATTTTAGGGCTCTTATGCTGGCGAAGAAAATTGCAGCAAGTTTGAGAGTTGGTTTAAATATATTATTTGACCAAGTCAGTGGATGTAGCTAGAGAAGCACAATGGGAGTGTGGAGCATAAATTGATATGTATATCTCCTAACCTTGGTGTAGAGGGACAGGCACACAGACCCCATTGACTAGGTAGAACAGACGCCTGAAACATGAAAGAGAAATAAAAGCATTTTCTAATATTTCCTAAAAGTTCCTAAATAGCAGCAAAAGGTATGATTGGCTGGGGTCTCACATCAAATCCTACATACAGATGGTCTGATTCTTTCCCATGATAGCTGAGGAATTTCCAGAGTGGGAATAAACTGAAGTTTTCAGCCTTTTTTTTTTTGGTGCATATGGAGACTAATCCATGTCTTTTAAAGCGCATCTGTTTGCACCCCACATCTAATGCATAGAATCTGTCCTTGCACTGTCTTTCCAATGTGTGATTTCTATGGGAGAGCTTGGCCTGGCCTGGGACATGGCCAGGAGAAGCCTGAGGACCACTCTGACAGGCGTACCCCAAAACCTCTTCTGTACTGAAATGCTTTGAGCAACAGAACTGTAGAGGCATGTCTTCATGGGTCTTCTGTTTGTTCCCTAATGAGTTACTAAGATTTAGCTTTAAACTCATAAATAGCTCTGTTTAGCTTGCGTTAAGAGGATGTTTTGAGCTGCACTTACCTATGCCAGGGCTCTTCAGTTCCTCTGCACAATGGTTGTCATTTTCCTTGGGCAGAGGTGAATCCTGAGAACTGTCCTCCTGTGGTGCTGCTGCTTGCTTGGCCATGTGCTCCTGTGGCTGTGAGCATGGCCTAACCGCATCTTGCACTGGACTGAGCCTGGGTTGCTCTCAGGATGGCTGGAAGTGTGGTGGGAAGGTATGAGATGCTGTCTGTGACTGAGAGAGTGTGGCTGAAGTCTTTGTAGTGTCAGGGGAGACCCTGGCAGGGCAGTGCAAGGGAAGCGGGGAGCCAGCAGAGTGCGAGGAAGCCAAGAGGTTTAGTCAGACCCGCAGGTAGAGAGTGCCCAGGGTGCTACAGCAGTGCCAACGGGAGCATGTGTTATGGGGGTCAAGGAGAAGGTGAACCTGAAAGGGTAGTTGCAAGCATATGAAGGTCGGGGGATCCTTAGAAGTAGGCTGTTAACTGAGATGATCTGTTTTTATTTCCTCAGAGCTCTTGTCTATGCCAGCCGTAAAACGATTTTCTGTGTCGTTTGCAAAGCATCCGACTAATGGTACGTTTGCTTCCTTGATTTGACGTTCCCTCACACTTCTAACCCCATGCTCACATTCGGTTCTCTCTGCACATATTCTCCTCTCAGCCTTCTCGTGTTTTTTTGTGTCTGTGTATCTGGTGTCCAAACATGTTTCACCTTCCCCCATTGCCTCGTTGTAACTAACTTGTTCATTCATCCTCTGTTACTGCTCAGTGGTTCCTCTCCTGCCCCCCAAAGCATTTGTGTCCCCGGTGAAAAAGCAAGAGCAGTGGCTCTGTGAATGGACTCCTAAAGCAGCCTTTAATTCCACAGCTGACAATAAAGCCTTCTTTCATGCTCCCTTTTCGGGGGTTGGGGGTCGGGGGGAGAATACCATTGGATTGTGGGGGGGCGGATATCCACTCCGTATTCTATAAGAGCACCAGCAGCTTAGGTCCTCAGTTTCTGCAACGCAGATTTGCAGGACCAAAACAAGGATAGCCTGAGGCTACCCGTGTGTCACCTGGAAGAGCACAGTCTAGGGTGGGGGAGAAGGAGGTGCTAGGTGGGAGAGAAGGAGGTGCTAACAGCATTCCCTCTGTGGATGGTATTCCTCAGCACAGTCGTCTGAGGAGTACTGGTAACCTCATGGCTTCCTATTTGCAAACTTGTCTGTTAGGGTGGTCCCTTGGTTACTCCAAGCATGGTGGTGTTGGTGGGAGTAGGCTCACCTTTCCTGCAGACGTTATCCTGGGAATGGTATCTCTCCAGAACTTTCCCTCATCTGCTGTTGGTGGACAATGCTGGCTTGGGCCTGCCGCCTTCCTGAGGTAGGAGGGGATCGGCACCATGCCACCCAGGGTGATGTAACCTGCTTCACTCCTGTCATGCCAGTAGCTATGAAGAGGCTGGGTAAAGAAGGATGTCTGACAGTGCTTCTGTTGGCTCACTATCTCTGCTTCATATTGCTACTAACCTAACACCCGAACTGTGAGTCTTTTGAGGTTAAAGACCATTAGCTCTGTGGTAGCAGGTGCCTTGAACTAGTGTTTATTATCCAAGTCTTGCACAGAAACTTTTGAAAAGGTTTGTTTCACAGCACCACTCCTACCTCATGGCTCCTGCTGTTGAGACAGGTTAGAACCAAAGCAGATCACTGAAAGATATCAGGTTAAGTATTTCTGTCTTCTGTGATCAAGGCTGCTTCTGCAATCTTGTTGCTTAGTAAATATGAAGAAATTGTGCTTTGTGTCTGGAAGATGAAAGAAATTCAGAAGACTGTTATGAAGACCAAAGTTTTGGGAAAGATGAAGGGGAAGGGGCAGCTAAATGTGGCTTTATTGTTTCAAATATCTGAAGGGAACCTATTTTCTGTGTTTGCTTGGTTTTGTTTTTCCCAGAATGGCCAACTGCTTGATTTGTTTGTATGTCTGGATGCCATCTGAGCTCACGTGGTGTATGTCAGCAGGATGTGTCGTTCTATCTTGCCAGCAAAACTTGTACCAATCACCAGTCTTTCCTAAGCCACACTGTAAAGCAACTGCCCCCGCCCCAAACACAATAAAGTGAAACTGGGCATCAGGTTTTTCCCAAGAACCCAATGAATATTTCTAATGGCAAAGTGCTCCTTAATCAAGAAAACAAAGACAGAGGTCCAGCAGGTGTGAGCTTGAAGTTAGGCATATTTGGTCTAGGCTTGGCACTGGTTTTAGCAGGATGTTTAGACACATGAACCACTTGCCTGAGGATGCAAAAGCTATTCACAGCTCTGAATCTGGATTTTGTTTCTGAAGAGCTGCCTCTGTGTGGTGAAATGGGATGGGTGAACCAGAGCAGTGGCCAAGCACAGCATCAGGCCAGATGCTTTATGCCCTGGTCTTGTGAGTCCTGGGAGCGTGACATGAGTCCTGAGGCTGTATACATGGATGAGAAGACATGCCTGCATGCTACTATCTTGTCAGTCATGCAAGGACATCACAGAATATTGCACAGGGCTGTTCTGAGAGTCTAGAGAGGGGAGGTCAGCAATTCTGTGCCCCCTCTGTTCTTCCACACTCTAAGCATTATGCTCTCAGTCAAACCCTGCTGTCCCCCAGCGTCCCTTCCACAGCCTCCGGTCGTTTGATGCTGGGCCATTTGCTCTCTTCCATGTGCTGAGGTGGCTGGCTGTGTTTGGATGCAGGACTCGAACGCTCTGTTGGCAGTCGATGTCTCAGTTGGGGGAGGGCGAGTGTGGGCCTGACCTGAACTGTACTGGACTTGGAACGTGTCCTAAAATATATTCGCTTGTCAGACTTCAACTTACAAAGATGAAACCTTGCTGCTCAGGGACTGCCCCTGCACTGCAGCTGTGTTTGGCAAAGGCTGGGCTGGGTGGGAGGCTGGCCTGCTGCAATGTGACTGGGGGTGTGTAGATCTAAGGGTATTCCTGACCTGCTTGCTGCGGGAGGGATTGGGCTTCAGTGTGTGGTGTGGGTTTTTCCCACCCAGCGGCGCTGGTGCTGGCAGCTCCATCCCCACATCTCCACAATTTCTCTATCCCCAGCTGCACCTGCCCCTCTCCTCTCACTCTCTATGGCCCCCTTTCCTCCAGATGCGTTTGAGCACCACCACGTTGCCCAGTTGCTGCGCCGTTTTTCCTCTGACTGTACCACGAGCCGGAACATCTCCCTGGATGCCACTCTAGCCCATCACCTCCAGCAGTGCTCCTACCACCTGCGCCTCTTCAGGAGCTGGCTGATCTCAGGGCAGGATGACTTGGAGTGTCTTTACGGTACTGCACGCTGCAGCTGCCTTGGTCCTGTGCTCTTGTAGCTGAGCAGGGACCACTGTCTGCTTGAGAATGCAAAGTATGCTTTGCTTCTAAAAAGGAAAGCATTTCCCTCACCGCATCCCTTAAATCTCTGGGCTGCTGCTGCAGCAAGCTGTGTGGGCTGTTGGCACCCGGCAGTTTTGGAGCCTTAGGCAGTAGCCTTTCCACATGGAGCCGGTGCTCTTCGTGTGGCTGTAACTGTGCTCTTTCCATCTTTGGCAATTGTTCGTTGCCTCCTTCCTTTAGCCAGGGTAAGCCCTTAAGCTTCCTTCAGGTTAGGTGCTGAGCTCCTACCAGTGTGACGCCCTGCTGACACGATACCCCTGTGCAGGTCTCAGTGGGGTGCTGCAAGGTGTCCCATTATTAACAGAGGAACCAAAGTGAATAGTAAGAGTATGGGAAGAAAGAAGATTAAGGAGGCGCTGCAGCTGGTCACATGCAGAGTGAACTTGCTGTGGAAATTTTGGGGAAGTGAGTGCTTCTGGGATTGTGTTGTTTCTCGAGAGACCCCATCTAGAGAGACAGGGTAGAAACTGAGCTTCTGTGGCTGCATTGCATGGCATCTGTTCTGCCCATTAGGACCTTTGCAGCGTGTCGTGTGTCTGGTGGGAAGAGGTAGGCAATTTCAGTATTGAATCTAGATGTTATAAATCAAAGCTTGCTACTGTTTCTCTGGTATTTGTCAGCCTCTGGCACAGACGGGAAGTCTGATGCACTGAGGTCTCAGTGCTTCTAAGACAAGTAGAAAGATTCCTCTCTGAGAGGCGCAGCTGCTAGTGTTTACCTTGCACCATAAAACCTGCTTGGTGCATGTGGCTTGCTGAGCTGTGTGGTGTGATGCATGGACCTCCTTTTTCATTCAGACCCACAGGTGGAAGGGGCAGAGACAGTATAGCTTTTCATGTAGTGAAGCAACAGGATCAAGCATTTTCATAGCCTGGAAAAGAGAATTTTTCTTATACAGTCTGTTTTTTCTTGATATAGCCCTTTCTGTCAAGTAGGCAATTTGGAGATGGCAGTTACTTTTCATATATAATTAGGACAATCCTCGGTCTCCTAGCAACAAATACTAAAGAGGAGCAAAATTGCTTCAAGGGAAGAGATGCTGGAACACAGCAGACTGCTCCAAAGCCAAAGCTGAGCTTCTCCTGCTGCAGATCTCAGCCATCTCCTGTGAGCTCCGGTAGGGAGAGGAAATGAACTCAGTGCTTTGGGCAGCGATATGCCAAATATTGCAGCATGGTGCTGGGTTGTGCAGCCTGCCCTAATGCAGCCAAACATATGCGTTACGTACCTCAGCGTAGCAGCCTTCCTGTGTGGAAATCAGATCTCTGCAATCAGTGAGTTCTTTCTTGCTGTTTTCTCAGTCTGTCATCAAGCCCACAGTTAATTAGCATGCTTGGGATTCCTGCTGGGGTTCTTCTCAGAGCAGACGTTTCTCCGGTCTCTGTAGCTGACAGCCCAACTTCCCCAGCTTGTGAAAACTACATACTCCTATCCTCTCTTTCTTGGCTTTCAACCGTACTTCTATCCACACAAAGAAAACATGAATTAAAAGATAGAATCAAGGAGTTAAAAGTGTGCAGTTGGCATCCATAGTTGGAAAGATCAGCTCTGAAGCAATCTGTCTGGGAACCTGTGCTTGTCTGTGTGGTCATAGCTGGGAAAAAGAAGAGTGAAGTAAGTTCATGTTGGTAATGAATTACAGTGGTACTGAAGCCAAAGGTCAGCTGTGAAGAAACAGAGAATGACCCTGTGATAATGAGCGGGCAGTAAAACAGCAGGTGATGTTCAGTGTAAATAAATTTAAATAATAAGGGGAAACAGCCCCAAATTCATATATAAAATGGTGGGCTCTGATCTGACCATCACCACTTGGGATCATGTGGGAAAGGTAGAAATTTGCAGTCTGGGAAAGATGTTTGTGATAGTGGTCGGAGTGGCCTGGAGAGGGTTGGTGGGGATCCGCAGTTCAATGTTGCAGTACAGGAGCTAGGAGGTTTCTAGTGGAGTGAGTAGAGGCAGCTTCAGACAGAAGTGATTTTTTCCGTGCAGAGTGAAAGTCCTCACCACAGTACATGGGGGTGTTAGGAGCTTAACTGAGTTCAAGGGGAGACTGGAGAATATGGATGAGACACATCAGGTTCAGAGCAGTTCTGAGCTGCAGGTCACTGGAGTTTGGGGGACTGCTTGGGGGAAGAGTCACTACATGCTGTCTAGTCTCGTACCCCTTCATTCGTAGCCACTTCTGGCACTGTGGGCAGAGAGGTGCTGAACTAGGATAGATCTTCAGGCTGGCTGTACAGGCTTAAATTTAGAAAGGCCGGTTAGCAAAAATCCTAGTTCATGTACATATTGTGTATGCATATATAAACACATGCAAATATATGTGTGGCATATTGGAGTGCTCCCAACAAAATAAGGCTGGACTGACCAAGCACGTTGGAGAGGAACTCGCTGAGTGTGCTTTCTCCCATGCCCTTCAGAATCTGTGCTCAGACTGGGCAAGTGCTTCTTTACTCCAGAAGAGCTGGCATACAGACCTTTGGCGTTACAGACCTTTTGGGGGTGTGCCAGGTGCCATTGGTCTGCCTGTTGCTTTCAGGATCTCCATTAGAAAGGAACAGGTACCCTCTCCGCTCCAATGTAGAGTTCACAACTGGAGAGCTGGGTAGTAACTCGGCGACTTCTGCTAATCAAATTGTGCGTAGTAATGTTCAGAACTCTCAGGCAAAATTATAATACACAAAAAGGATTGCTTTGGACCAGAAAGACTTCTCACCTGAGTCTTCCTTGCCCTCTGTCTTTGTCTGTTGGCTGACAGCAGTTTGGCTGCTTTCTACTTGCCAGCCTGCTGCAGCAGCAAGTACATTCTCTCTTTTAACAAGCCCACTCTGCTAATAGAGAAGCTTGCCGTATTTGGGACCTCAGCTCAATCTTAGTAAAGCTGAGGAACATGCCATTTGGACTACTTGAAGACTGCTCCTTGTCATGCTCACTAGCCAGGAAGTCTGCTGGCTCCCAGGTGATCTGCTGAATTACCAGCTCTGAGGGATAATCACACCAAGACTGGTTTCATTCCGGGGAGTGCATGTGTTCCATATAAACTCAAACTTTCCCAACTCATATTACACAGTAAGCTTTCTTCTTGTCTCTCTGGGACATACATAGAATTTAGGAAACTTTGTGTTACCTTGATTCAAATTAGATGCTTCCTCTTAATGAAATGGTATTGACTTCCTCTTGAGGGTTTAGACTGGGTCATCAAGAAGATGCAAATGAATTCAAGGTCTTGTTTTCCCCCTTGTTCTTCCCTTTTCCCAGTATAAAAATCTGTTTATTTTAGTTCTGCTGCTAACGCCTTTGGTTGAATTTTCTTTCAGACTTCAGGGTGACTGAAGGAGAGATAGCTAAATGGATGAAAGTACCCATTACATCTGCAGTGAAAGAGCGGTGGGGTAACACAGCATACAGGGTTCACTCAGAGATCTGTAATGTATTTGCTTGCCGTTCAAGCCATGTAATCATAAAGCAGGTGTTGGCTATTTCAGAATTCATCATTGTGTAGTCCAGGTAAAAAGGAGGCACTTCTTGACTCTTTCTTTGAGTTCATCTGCTAAAAGGCAGCTGTTCACAAGAGTTGTATCTGTGTGTTCCTACTGCCTGCTGGAGTCTCCTAGAAACCTGGGATTCTCTGGTTTAGATGGAAGACGTGAGACAGGTGCAGGTCTCCGTTTGCTTTATATGGTATAGTGTGCTAGGTGATCTCTGCAAAAGGGTTCTTACACCCAAATCACCTTCTTAATACTCTTATGAAGTGTTGTGTGTCGGTACTAGGCAGCTCTGAAACAGTCTTAGTCTAAGGAGACAGTCACTCCCTCCTTGAACGTCTGGAAGACTTCTTCATAAGCCGTGATTACACCGAGTAGACTCTCTGACAGTGTGCAGTAAAGTGTGCACATGCCAAGAACGTGAAGCTCCGGGGAGAAGAGCTCAAACTGGAACATAGTTAACTCAGCTGTAACATGAGTGGGCTTTCAGCTTTGGCATCAGCATGCCTGGGAGAGCCAAAACAGGACTTCTAATCCTCTAGCTGGATTGTACCTCTGGTGCTCTCACTTGCAGAATGGCTCTTCAGGCAGTACCATTCTCTCTGCTGCTGTGTCAGGATGCTGCTGCATTATTGGTTCAGAGTGGAGATTCCACCATAGCTGCTCCCCCACATCACATGCAGTCTCCTTGGACATCCAAAATAATACATACTCAGCAGATTCCTCTGCCTTGTGTATCTTAAGGTTTTTCCCATAACCAAATCTTGTTTTCTTTACTCTAACAGATGGTTTCTTCCTATTTTACTGAACAAAGATTTTGGAGACATAACCACGCTGTACTCCTTGCCTGGAGAAGATTACAGTTGACTTTGGGATTCATTTTTAGCTACTCTGGTCTGCAGACCCCCGCCATATGCCTCTCCCTGCAGGGCAGGCCTCACTGTGGAGGAAGCAGATTGCCCTCTGCACCCCTAATGCAGCTAGCGTAGTCAAACCTGAATGAAATGAAAAATGAAACTTGTTCTTCTGTGGACTGCTGTTTGACTTTGGTACAAAATGAATGGAATTCTGTCTAATTTCTTGTGCCGTTGTCCACATCACAGACTCCTGCCCTGCAGGCCCCAGGAAAAGAGTTTGAGGAAGCATCAGCAGTAGCCGAGCGGTCAGCACTGGGTGACTGTCAGGCTGGAAAGGTTCCTGTGGTTTGCACTCATGCTTTATTTCCCTAAGATGTTGGTTCTTTGCTAAATCTGTGTGGTGCAGCAGTGGTCAGAGCCTTCACTGGGGACTCTGGCTGCTGCTGCAATACACATAAGGATTATGGTCTGTAGCGGTAACTTCTGCTTTGGCTCTACTGTGGTGGCATGAAACTGCCGTTGTTGGCCTCCCCACAGCAGCTAAGCAGGTCAAGGGAGGTGTGCAGGGAAGTGGGCTGCCATATACAAATGAGAGGGATTCCTTAAAAATAGTAGTGCTTCACCTTGAGAAGGGAAACTTTTGCCTTTTTCTCTACTTGCTTGAAACCGGTTAAATGACATAGTGCTGAGCAGAGCTGTGTGAACAGGCATTTGGCACTTCGGGGATATAGGTGTATCATTTCACATCAGTAGCGTTGTCAGAGTTCCATGTTTCCTTTGACACTGGACCTTTCATTTCCTCATTTTATTAGAGGAGTGCCCAAGCACTCAGATCCCCATCAGTGCCTCCAGTGTATCTTGTAACTACGTTGCTTTGCCCTATGTTATATTCAAACTTCTTCCCTTTTCTTTGGAGACCCCAAGAGCTGAGCCAATTTTGGCCCCTCTTAAACCAGATTCTGTTGTGAAATGACATTAGCCTCATACTACGCTGCTCCACAACCATCTCCACATGGCTGTTCATTAAGTCTTGCCCTCACCCTTTTCCTTGAGCTCTGTCTCCCGGAATGCCTATGAGAAAATAATGAACAGATACTCTTCCTTATTCAGCTCTTCCACTCTAAGGACTTCTCAGCAAGGGACAGAAGAGTATGGTATTCTTCTGGTGTCTTACATTCCTTCATCCTAGCCAAGGATTTGTTATCCTTCATGTCTTGAATTGATGTGTGTAGGCCCCTTGTGGCATAGGTAACCTCTCTGGACTGTCTGGAGGGTTTTATCTCCAGTAGCTGTGGTGGCAGTGAATGTCTCTGCAGCACTGCAAACTGGTGATGATCTGGTCTGCAGCCTCCTCATATTGCATGTGGATTCACTCTAAATACCATCTGCTGGCTCATGCTCCTTGCCTCTTGCAGAACTGGGTTAGGTGAGCAGATTGGAGCACAGACTGGAGGTGATTGGAACAATGACTACACTTAGCAGATAATCCAGGTGCTCTAGGTCTTCTCCTTAGGTGCTGTCAAGCTGCAGAGATCAGTTTTAGCCTGCCAGTGTGCTGGGCAGCAATCCTGACACAGTAATGCCTCAAGAGCTGTTGTACTTTTTGCATTTCAAAATAATTTTCCTTCTCTGCAGGAACCCAGTGCCTTCCCAGGGTCTTTTTGAGCTCCTTACAGGGAGCTAGGGAGTCACAGAATGGGAAGCCTAAGTTTAAGAAGTTTAGAGGCCTTTAAACTCAAGAGGTGCAGAGCAGGAGGAGGCCTCATTCCCATATGCCCAGAGACTCATTTGTTTCTTCCTTGCTCCTCTGACAGTTTCAGATTGGCTTGGTGCCACAAAGCATTGCCAAGAAGCTTGGATGAAGAGGAAGATGCTTTGCCGTAATACTCCACTGGCTTGAGTAGCAAAAAATTTATTGTGAATGGTTGTGATGCAGCTTAGCTCTGAGCAAGTGTCTGTTAAACGTTGAGATACCTGTTTCTACTAGCTCTGGGTTTGCTGGCCGTGAAGTCTTGTTAAGGGGACAAATAATTCAAAGTGTTGCCCAGCCCTTCCTTGGGAGACAGTCCGTCAGGTGTACACCGGAGGGTCTGCTGTGAGAGAGGGAGGTTCTGCCACTCCCTGCATTTGTAGCAGTGTGCACTACCTCGCTGATGGGGAGAGGGTGGACTGTGTCCCCGGCTGGGGTGTCACTAGTGGTGGGAGTCCCTTCATGGGAATTCTGTTGACTTCACTCAAATTCTGTTTAGCTTCTGTAAAGTGTGGGGCACTGTGCCAAGTTCTCCATCATAACCGTATATTTTAGCAAAAGGGTCACAGGCTTTGCAGCAAACACGGCTGCTGCTAGATACGTTTCTCCCTCTTCCCCCTCCTTCTGCGTGTGCCTGGATGCTTGCTTTCAGGTCTGTGATTGCATGTGATTGCCTAGTGGCGATTTTCTTGGCCTAGAAGAGGTGACCTTAGGCCTGAGTGTGCCTGTTGTTTGATTCCCAGACTGCCCAGCTCCTTCAGCCATGAGTGGTCCTGCATGGATTTAGGTTGCTGTTTGCTCTATTCATTTTCTGATTGGGTTTCTTTCCAGGTTTTGAAGGCTGTTCCATGGTTCCCACCATTTATCCCCTGGAGACCCTGCACAACTCCCTCTCTTTGCGACAGGTCAATGAGTTCCTGACGGCTGTGTGCAGGAGTTGCAGCGAATCGCATGTCCAGTCTACCGCAGGTACTGGTGAGGTGGGCTTGTCTCTGGGTAAGCCAGAACAGAGACGAGGCAAGGAGACCTTTTGGTCTTTTACATTATCGGGACAGATCAGCCTGACAGGACTGGCAATAAGCGCAGTCTCTGAAACCTGTTCCAGGGTGTTCTAGCCCAGGAGTGAGCTATGGGATCCAGCTCAGAGCCATCCTAGGCCGCTTACTTGAGAGACAAGTAATCAGTCAGGTCTGTCTGTGGCTGATAAGTACGGTGACATGGATACAAACTCCAGCTTGGCAAATCTTAGCCTCAGATTCCCAGGAGCTGAGGGACAGGCATGGCTCTGAATTTGCACTGTTCTTGAACACTTCCCGGAGTGCCTGCTCGTGGCTGCTGGGCTATGAGCCATTCTTTTATGTCTGTCTGAATATTACTGATCTGTGTATTTTTTTTCTTGAAGCTTTGTTTGATTCAATGATTGGCAGCCACATACCAGGAGACCCCTTTATGTCCCAGCGAATCCTGTCATCATCCTCTTTGCCACTGCGCCAGCGTTCGGATAAGCCCCCTTGGTGTGAGTGTGCTCCCTTCTTGATCAGGGGTGAACGTGGTGGTGAGGGAGGGAAGTAAAGGGTGCCAAATGGTGGAAGCAAGTATTGGTGCTCAGGGTTTCTATGCTCTGCCCTTGAAGGAACAGAAACAGAAAGGGGAAATAGGTAAAAGGGAAAGTAGCCATATGCCCTGTGAAAAAGCTTCCAAAGAAAGATGCAAAAAGGGACTCTCCGTAGTATTGTATATCATGGGGACTTCTACTGTTGGATGGATGCTGTCTCTCCAGACATCCTCTGCTTTGTGCACTGGGACATGGAGGGCCTGAATGCACTTCATTTTCATCTCAAGTTTTGTGATTCTCCATGACACATGGCCAACTCAGTGTTGGCATGTGGAAATGCCTTCCTTTCCTAATCAGCCATGTACATGCCTCACCCAGAGCTCCGTATAGGACAGCCGATCGTTTAGTTCTTCACTTACAGGCTTTTCTGCAGCTCCTGGGCCTCACTTGTCACAATCTCTGCAGAGCTCGTGACTGTTAGTCCCCTTTGTAGATCTGACTGGCGCTTGGCGGGGAAAGGGTTAGCCAACAGTTGCACAGCAAGTGCCTTAATAACACAAGTCAAGGTTGCCACTGAAAGAGCAGTCCTACTCTTCTCCTGGCTGTATACTCCTTGTGCCAGGAGTCGTGTGTGTCTGTGTAGGCAGCAAGGTCAGGGAACTGATCTGACTGAAAACAGTTGTTTAATCTTCCCCCCCTTATTGGATTAGATGTAATCTAGATCTGTTCTCTAGTTTTGCTTATTGTACAATATAAGGCAAGAATAAGCATTAATGGAGAAGCAATATTTCTTCTTCCAATGGTGACTCTAGCTCAACATTCAGTGATTGTGTGTGTCAGAAACCAAGAGGAGCAAAGTTGAAGCTGAGAGTGTTCCGTAATAATGAGGGAATGAAAGAAACTGATTTTCAGCTCAAAGCCCAACATCACATTTCACATTTTGCTCTATAATGACAACAGAATCCACTCTTGGCTATATGCCAACATAGCACGGTATGACAAGATGTAAGTGTGGTGTTTGTGCTTAGGTTTTCATCAGCTGAGCTGCCAGAAACACACCTAAGAGCAGCTGCAAGCCCTTGCCAGGTTGCATGGCATGTAGACGACCCTCACCCATGGGTTGTAGAACTGTGGGACTGCAGCAGCTTGGGTCTGCCCAGGCTTTGGGCTGGGGAAATATCAGCTAAATGTTTAAGGTTTTTCTTCCTCTTTGCAGACAGCAGTGGCCCCTCCAGTACCGTCTCCAGTGCAGGCCCATCCTCCCCAACATCTGTGGACAACTGCACTCGTTTCAGCTTCACTGAGAAACTTTCCATCAGTCCCCCGAAAAGTGAGGAGCAGCTGACTAGCCAGTCCCCTGAGCAAGGAGAGAGACAGCCTCCAGGCAGAGGGCTTGACATGGAGGTGGGGATGTCTGGGTTGTCAGTGGTGGAGCCAAGTGCCCCAGAGACCCTGACCTGGAACCAGGGCCCAGAGCCAGGCAGGGTCCTGGAGCTGTGCAAGAAGGAGCTGGCGGAGGAGGACTCTAACCCAGAGGAGAAGAGCATGGTGGAGCTGGATGAAGAAGACTCAGCTGGGAGAATGTTAGAGCCAAGTAACACAGGGAACCCAAAGTGTGGTGCAGGGTCTGATATAAGGCTGGCTGGGGAGAGAGTGAAGCCAGGTGAGGGGTATACAGGGGGAATGACTGGCCTGGATCAGTCAGGGCTGCCCAAGGAGATCTTGGTGCCCTGTGAAGAGGAGCTGGTGGGAGAGGTGTTGGACCCGGAGCATATGGGCAAGGAGCTGCTGGGGGACAGTGCTCTGTCAGGCCAGCTTCTGTCTGGTCACCTGTGCCAGCCACTGTCTCCTGAGAAAAGCGTGGAGGAGCTGCAGCCGCTGTGTCAGGAGGATCAGCAGAATTAGCGGCTCACTGGACAGCACACCGCAAGCGCTTCTAGCCTGGAGGCAGCCCAGCTGCATGCACAGCACCTCATGCAGCTGGCTGTCCACAGCACAAGCCATGTCCCAAGGCCACAGGACTCTGGGGTGTGGAAGAGTCTGCTCTGCTCCTCCACAAGCCAGCTCTTTGCCATTCGGCAAAAGACAATGCCCCATCTGCCTTGAACAACAAATGCAGTCTTGGTACTGGCATGGCACCTCCATGGAGCAGGGACATGGGGCTGCATTGGTGTCCCAAGGGCTGTATGCTCGCTGGGACAGCAGAGTTAGAGGATTGGTACAGCCAAGGCTTTTGGGGTGGTAAGTCCAAAGGGGACAGATGCTCCCTTGAGATTTTTTGGCCCATAGCCTTCAGAGAAAGGCATTCTGGGCCCAAAATAATCGGATCCATCACAACCACCAACCTCCTCTCTGTTCCTTCCTTCTTCCTCTCTCAATTCCCACCACTGGCCACCAAAAACAGGTCTGGAGAGTCCATGGCAGGAAGACTAGGAGAAGCAGAAAGCATTCTGAATGAGTGTGGGAAGGAGAGTAATGAGGGGATCAGGTTCAAGACTGCCACTTGCAAGAAAACGTCTCTTTGGCGTGGTCTTGAATGTTTTCCTGCTGGGCTGGGGCAGGCAGGCGGGAGCCTGGGGATCCAGCCTGAGAGAGGTGGGCAGGGAAGACACACACGGGTTTTTTTTCTAGTCCCCAAGGGTCAGGCAGGGTACAGCTCTGAAGTCTTGGTGACAGAAATTAAAAGAAACTGCTATTTGAACAAATCAGGATTATTAGAAACCAATAAGGAGAAATCTTTATTATATATAAAATGAAAAGTATTTAATACATATTTATGTAAATGACTTGTGAGCACAAGCCTGAGGGCAAGATTGACACGGGTGTCCCTGCCGCATCCTAAGTGCAGGCCAGGGCTGTGCCTCCTGCGCCTCCTGTATTTATGAACAAGTCTATGTGTTTGTCTGTAGCTAGGATCTGTGTTTTTGTGAAGCTGTGCCCAAAGATCTCCGCACTGTGTTGTGATGATGTGTGTTCACAGTAAATCTATGCTGTGGGTCCGGCGTCTCTCTGTCTCTGATGCTGACTTGCACAGCAGTGTGTGTGTGCTAGAGCTTGCAGGTGCCTGGGACAGCAAGCCCTGGTCGTTCACCGCCGTGCTGGAAGAGGAACTGTGGCTGAAGTCACAACTGAAGTGAGTGCACAGGCATGGGGCTTTGCTCAAGAAGGCCACACACCTCTTTTTTCCTCCACAGAAGAACTGGTCATACTGGGGATGAGGTCCTGGCTTCCCAGGTCCCAGGGCAGTTTGTGGTAGAACGAAGACACTGAGGCAGTGTGTTCGGCTCCTTTCACTTGGTGCACACCTTCTCATCCGTTCCAAGCACGTCCTGGGTACCGTGTCTTCTTCTTCATGCCTGATAATCCCTAGCTGCCAGTTTGGGTATTTAAGAAAGGTCATGTTTACTTGCACTTGAAATGCAGCAGTCGTACAGCTGCCTCCAGTGCAGCACTCTGCTAGGAGGAAGCCTGGCCCCCCGCTTCCGCAGGGCTGTGCCAGCCTGCTCTTGTACGGCTGTGTGCCGGGGTCTGGGAGAAGGGCCCGCCTGGTGCTGTAAGGAAGCCCTCTGGCTTTCATTGGCAACCCTGCATTAAAGACCTGGAAGAACAGATACCCTGGCCAGTGCCTGTCAGGCCGAGGCCGTGGGCCTGCAGCGTGCCCCTGCCCCAAGAGCTGGCTGCGGGAACGCGGGAGGCAGGGCAGCACTAGATCCCACTTGCACCCCTCGGGTAATGCCCGCGCCCCTGATCCTGCTGTCCTGCCCGCATCCTCCCAGGGTCAGTAGTGCGTGGCACCTGCCACCGCCAGCACCGCTGCTCCAGCAGCAGGGTCCCTGCCGGACACAAGAGCTGCGTCTCCTGCCTGGATTTGCGTGTTTCTGTTTGGGGGGGGCAGCGCCCACCTCTGCACCCACGGAGCGGAGACCATGGCCCAGGCCTGGGCAGGGTGGTTGCTGTGATGGACCCAGCATCACCTGCCGCAAGCTGTCATTGCTGAGTGGGGCACAGCTCCTTCAGCGGTGGCACGAGCAGGTCAAGGAGCAGGGTCTTGGGTGAGGGCCTGGCTCTCAGGTGCTCACCCCCACGCAGCTGGGAGCTCGTCACTTCTAGGGCCCTGGAGCCTGCTGGTGGGATGGCTTTGCCGTGTACAAATGCCCGGCAGATCTCCTGCCTGTCTGCTCCCCCTGCATTGCAAGAAAACAGCCAGGGGATGCTCTCAGTGCCAGCTGCCCTCCCGCCATCCTGCCAAGCAGCACAGGAGACAGACTGGACTCTGGGTGCCAGGGGAGCCAGGAGGGCACTTTGTAGTCGGGAACCCTTTCCCCCAGAGAAAGCGGCTACTGGCTGCAGTGTCCTTGGGCTTCCACGGCTTGGCAGGGGCAGCACAAGTGCTGTGGTAGCGCTGCCCAAGAGCTGCTGCTGTGGGACATGCCACATCATCTGAGTACAAAGTGGCCTTTCTTGCGAGGCTCTGAAGGCCACGTTCTGCAAGAAAGGATGGCTGAGTGCTGCAGTAGTTGAATACCTGGGTAGACTGCTGCCACTCACAAGAACCACTGTTATTTGTAATGTTCCCCAATCTTCAGCCCATTTCTTCACCTGGAAATGAAAAGGGAATGACGCTTGGGAAACAGCTTGCAGCTGTGGCTCTGCTGTGGCTCTGCAGCTCAGTGAGAGATCGGGCCCAGGAGAGAGGCCGGAAGGGGTTTTGTTGTGATGAAAAATACAAACCTCCATATCCCTAAATTGACAATATTTCTACAAATTCTAATTAGTGTCTAATTTCGGCTTCTGAATACATCTTTTGGTTGCTGGAGTCCTCTAGCCAGAAATTATCTGGCTGCATTGGTATTTTGCATACTGGTAATTCTGTGAATTTTTGTTCTCCAGATAGTTTGTAGGATCAGGGGGCTTCCTGATGCAGGGCAGAGTAACAGGAAGACAGCCTGGTTACTTGTGGCTAGTAGTGCTTATGCTGTGGAAGCAAATGTCCTGAACTCAAAGGCAGGTATTGTCCCACAGGCAGCCAAGAAGAAAACTGGGCTGCCTGCAGTGGTGCGAGAACTGCGTTCTGGTCTATGTCTGCTCTCTTTGATAGGTAGGCCAAGAAGGGACGGTGCCCTTTTTTTAAAAAGAGCTGCTTAATAGCTGCCTCTGTTGAGGAGTTTGTGGTCTTTCATGATGCTCTAACACTTCCAAATGAACACCTGCAGAGTGTGTTGTGAAATCTGAGCACTGACCCGTCTGCTCTTACACAGTGTCTTTACCGTGTTTTTCTTGGCTTAGCAGCAGCAGTGATTAATGACAAAGCCCTTTCCAAGCAGAAGGGTGGTGTAAGGAAGTGCTGTGAGTCACAAAGCAGAGAAAAAAGAAAAGGACAATTGCACAATTTCTGGATACAATGGCAGGAGCCGATATTTTTGGCTTAATCCTGCCAAAGTCAGTTCTGGCTCCTCAAATCTAGGCTGATGCATAAGCTGCACTTTCAAATGCTTTTGGGCTGCGTAAGTAGTGATATGCACAAATGGCTGCTGCATGGTCCTGCATCTCTGGCTGGGTGTAGCCACAAACTTTGCCTACAGTAGCTGGGATAGTTTGGATCAGGCTTGTCAAATCCCTGGCAGATGCAGCTAAGCAAAACTCTTTTCCTGAATTGTTGTCACTGTGTGCAATGGGAAAAGAGTATAGAGAAATGGGTCCAGGTCGTGTGGCAGAACAGGCAGGAAATACCAACTGTCTATACCAAGTAGCTAGAGTGCGGCAATGTCTCGTGTAGGCTGTGGAAAGCGACAGGCCCTGCCAGTCAGCGTGTACAAGTCCTTGGAGCTGGAGAAACTGTCAGGTTGTAGGGCGTATGCAGGCTTTGGGCCTTTGGCGTGGCGAGGTCCAGCCAGCCCTGATATTGTTGAAACAAGACCAAACTCAGTGTTGCTGCTATTGCCTTGGACATGCCTCTGGCTCATCAGTTTGCAAATACTGAAGGAGCTGATTAAGGGAGGGCCATGTCATTGCCTTACTGGGACCTGTCTTTTGCTTATCTGTTCTTCTGGTTTCTCAGAGCCATGCCACTTCCCCACAAATTACTAACCCTTATCTCCCTAAGTTCTACGCAGCAAGTGATGGACACAGCTGACCAGCCGAGGACAGCTGGTTTCTGTCCTTGGTGTGAGTTCCATTTCCCCCCTCCTCCTGTGGTCCAGGACTGTTGGCTCCAGTGCTGCCCAGCTGATGCCTGCTCTGTTTGCTGGCCATAGAGGAACAATAGGCCCAGGAGTTTGAAGGATTGCTGCTTGCCTCTTCTTGTTTGAGTTGAGAGAAGTCCAATTTGTTGCTGAACTGTAGCCCTGGCAAAGCCAAGGCCTGCTTTGGAGGTCTGGGCTGATCCATTTCCTCCTTGCAGATACCTGCCCATGGATCAACACTGATGCTTCTATCCAGGTCTCATGGGCACCTGAAAGCTTCTCAGCCTCAGTGTACTCCTGCTCATTGCTGGAAGAGCACTGCTTCCTCAGGACATGCTTATGTGACTTACACCACTTCCCTGCATGCTGCCGCTTGTGTTTTCTGCTACAGTAATCTGATTTTGCCTCCCTTCTCCTGCAGAACAGCCTGTAGTAGGTGTGTTCACCACAGCCTGCATGGTCCATCTCAACAGCTGGCTGGGGAGCTCTGCTCTGCAGGATGGTGCTGAACAGGTCCTTAGACTCCCAACACTGTACACCTTTGGGAAATGCACGTACGGTCACAACCTCTCAGTTAGCAGGAGCATGGCCATATCCCTATGCTTCTAGCTGGAAAGGGTCCTTAGACTCCCAACACTGTACACCTTTGGGAAATGCACGTACGGTCACAACCTCTCAGTTAGCAGGAGCATGGCCATATCCCTATGCTTTAGCTGGAAAGCAGCTGCGGAAATAGTTCCTGGTTTATGGTAACGGTTTGTGGTCCCTCCTGTCAGCAACAGCTTTGGCACCTGCCCTGAGCTCTCCATTACATGCTGCACAAGCCGTGGTATGCTCCGTGGCCACAATGGCCTCTCTTCTGAGGGTCGTAGCCCAGTACCTGCTTTCCTTTTCCCTTGCATTCAACTGTGCCATTGTGTTTCCTCCTGAGGACACCCAGGCAGGAGCAGAGCTGCCTGGGCGTCAGCCTCTCCTGACTGCTACCCAGCACAGGCAGAGCAGAGGGCTGCTGTCCTAGTGTTCTGCTGAGTAGCTAAAAGAGCTGAAATAAAGTGACTTCCCCTTCAGAGGTCTGTTTGGAGTTCTGCAGAGGTACAAAGGCCCACTGTTGCAACAGGGATAGGCAGTGTGTGGTGCCCCATCAGGGCCTGGCTGGCCACAGGCCCTGAGCCGGGTCCCTCATGCAGGTGCACTGCCTGGCTGGCCGGCAGCAGGCTCCTGGCCGAGCACTGGAGTGGTCTGCCTCCAACAGGACCAGAGACGTTTCCAGTTCAAGGAATGAACTTGGCAGTCAGAGCTGCCATTCCCAAGAAGTGCATGGGCAGGCAGAGGGCCACAATGGAGAGCATGATTCAGGAACTGTGAGGAGCTGCAGCGTCAGCAGGACAGGCTGTGCCGGGCTCCACGCTGGAGCATCGAGGGCTTTGTCCCCGCCCTGGGCCCTTGGCCAGCTGTGCAAGGGCCCAAAACTTCCTCTGGAGGGGAGGTAGCCGGAACTGCAAATCACCCTGCCAGGGCCAAGGAGGTAGGGGTGGGTGTCCCAGGTAGGGTCTATGCCCTGATGTGCGTGTCCCTTCCCTGGGGCCACAGGAAGATTTAGCAGCTGCGAGTGAAGGTGTGGTGTTAGTGGAAAAGCCGGGGCTCGCCTGAACTCATCGGCTGGGAGGCAGCTGGCCAGCACTGGACGGAAGGTATGGTAGCCGTGTCTGTGTGCCCCCTGCCTACAGCGTGGACTCACTCAAAGAACAGTTTGAAACAGTTGGAAGTGTTCTTGTTCGCAATTAATGTGGCTTTATTGTTAATGTGTTGGGCTCCT